TTATCCGATGTGTATAGAGAAGACATATTGACAGAACGCCAGTGCCAAAACTGCCTTGTAAAATTTCAATCCGGCAAGTTCAATGTTGAAGATGCACCATCTCCTGGAAAGCCAGTTAATGCTGATGAAAACAAAATAATGGATTAAGTTTATCGAATTCTACCGTTCATGATGGTTTCCTCATGTTCTTAAGAAGTAAAGAAATTGTGCCATCACGTTGGCGCGTATGATTTGCTTCTCAAACTTCAGGAAAATGATCAATTCTGAAGCGCATCATCACCGGGGATGAGAAATGGAACACAACAATTTTAAATGCAACATAACATTGGTTGCTGATTTTACGTATAAAATAAAGAATACGTTTTACAGCGTATTCTTTGAAGAAATGAACCTACCGAGAAATGTGGTATATACAACTTATGTACTGTTACGTATAGTACTTCCTCTGAGTAAACTTGTATAGTACTACATGGAGTAAAAAAGATGAACCGGCTCAAAGAACTCCGATAGTCGATATTCACCAAAAAAAGATGATGCTATCTGTTCGGTGGGATTTCAAAGGATTCGTTTTTTAGCTTCTACTAGACAAGACAACACTCAATTCTGAAATGTACTGACCCGAATTGAATAATTCATTGAAACAGAAAAGGTCTGTGCCACCCTAATACGATTCATAAAAGCTACGATGGAGAAAATTAAAGTAAAGGTGCGAAGAAACAATCAGCTAACAGATCTTTTCACGATGGACTGAAATAGTTGGATGGTTCCAACTCAATTCAGATGACATGACTTACAATCAACAGCGAGATATATCAGCTTTTCAAAGATGTCAACCTCTCGGAATCCATCAGAATATAAAGGTTGAAGTGGGAATCAGCATAAATGCAGGGATGAAGGTGAGAAAGCCACAGAAACGATGAGAAGACGCAATGAGCGTAGTAATAGGGCATAAACAATGTGTGCTTTTACAACATACCCGACTTATCCGAAAATTTTGGAGCTCAATGAATAAGAAAATCGAAATTACGATTCCAAAACTTGTTAGTAAGCAATGTAACTTGAGAGTAAACTTTACTTTGTAGATATTCCCACAAGAAAAGTTAAATATGGCGATTTCGGTAATGAGGAGCCGATGCAAAAATGATGTAGATTTTATATGTGGCTATCTTGATGCAGACTTGATGGAAAATTGATGCAGGCATTATAAAAATTGAAAGGTGAGTAATGGAAACATATGCACTAAGTTATCAAACCAGGAGAAGTTATGGCCAACAAAGGCAACATGGAAAATCCGTTTAATTCTGAATTTTCAGTGTGTGTACGTTAAATAAAACAAGGAAGGAAGTTTCAATTAACTCCACAATGGATTTGATGCAGCCTTGATAACTTTATACGGAGCTGTTTCGATACAAAGTTGATGTAGATTTGATGATAAACGTTTAAATTGGGATAGATGTTGTCTGTTAGGGAGAGTGGAGGCAAGAGTTAAGGTAGGCGAAGGTCTGACTTGGGTTGTAGAGCCATAGAAGAAGTCTTTAGAAGTCTTTCTCTTCATTATGACAACGTTTATGGATTATCGAAGATCATGATTCTACAGAGATGTAGAATCATATCGGAATTGTCTACGCTGCACATTTTATCAACCGTTCATTTTAAAATTGAGACTAATACTATCACTTTGGAGTGCCTGGTAGATACAAGAGCACTTTTTGAACGACGTGGTCTTTGTAAGTGCTTGTGTAGCGATAATATCAATAGTTATAAACTAGACTTCAGCAAAAAACAGGAATTACATTGTTCAAAGTCCACATGAAGTCTGAAATTACTGTTCAGAGAAAACAAAAAATTGATTATAAACCAAACATGATTTTTCATGTCAATAGTTATGTGTTCAATAAAAGAATGCGAAGAATATGAACAATAAACCAATAGACTTGTCTTGTTATTGCACAGGACAGGAAATCACCAATACAGAAACTTTGCCAATACAGGATAAGCACAAAAGCAAAGTAATAGCTGCAGAAATGAGGTACCGGGTGGTAGAAGATCCGTATAGATAACAAGAGGCTCCCAAGAAAAAGATCTAATGCTTCTAAAAAACTAAATACTGCTTTCTGAAGACTAGATACTGCTCTGGAAGATTAAATACTGCTTTCTGAAGACTAGATACTGCTGACAGGTCTAAATACTGCAAAAGAAAGATAAGATATTGTTGGAGAAAATATTAAAAAAGGCGCCGGCGCCCCCTTTTAGGCGGAGCCCGGGTGCAGTGCACCCCTTGCACCCCCCAGTAGCGCTGCCTCTGTCTTCGATATTGGAGATGAAGAACAAATTTTTGAAGAAATCAATGAATTATTTCCTATAAGAAGCGAAAGGATAATAAGGAGTAGAGTTGACCATTTAAATATTCATTCAGATATTGAATTTATGACGATAAATGAGATTTCGTCTCTCGAAAAAAAGTTTTCATCGCCTTTTGAATCAAATAGAAGATGTGATATAACCTCCATCCATGACGTAAGTAATTTGTTGATTGCTATTATTTAATGTAAAATTCATCAAAATTTTAGTAATAATGCTGTACCTCCTTCAAACCGTTTGTTGCTGACTCTTCGGTTTTATGCAATGAGTAACATGTTGCTATCCATAGCAGATTTTGTAGGAGTGAGTGTACAATTGGCATCTTCAGTCGTTCATCATGTTAGTTGTGCCATTATTGTTTACTATCACATTTTAACATACAATAATACGAGATATACATATTTTTTGCTTTCCTTGTCATGTAACTGCATCACTTTTTTTGTTTTCTATTACGTTTTTATGTTTGATAACAAATTCAAGAAGTTCGCATTCTTCTTTGATGAAATTGGTGGTTCGTCGCCTTTTCTCAGTCTCCATTTCCAAATTTTAATTTTAAGGTTAGAACAGGTTAGAATATCGTCAAAATACCTAATAGTAGGCTTTTTGACCACATAGACCACATAATAGACCAAAAAATCCCTAGATTCCTTGGTTATCTCAAAGATTTCTTAACTATGAGATAAATGGAGGTGGTAGTACGCACGACCCTGTTATCTACGAGATAAACTGTATCTTATAGATAGCTTAACTGACAGATAGCATTGGTTTGGTAGTAACGGGCCTAAAGCAACTAATCTTGCTACTTGTTCTGGATTTATTTGAGGCATTTCATGTAATTTTAATCACTATAAAACTTTTTTGTAGTTAATTAATGACACAACGACAAATTAATTGCTATGGCAACGTCAATTGTTTGACAATGTGATCATAGTTCTTAAATCTGTGGGATAAACGTAAGGTTTCAATAAAAAAGCTTCAATTCAGACAATTTTAGAGATAAATTAATGAATAAAAAAACAAAATGCGCATAAAAGAAACGTCTTTCATATAGGGTGTAAGCACTTTCTATACCATTACTTGATTAATACACAGGGTGAGTCAAAAATTAGGAAAAAAAATGATGAGGAGTCATTGAAAAAATTTCCGCGTTTTTAATTTTTTTTTTGAAAGACAAAGAAATTGGCTACCAAGAAATAAAAAAATAATAAAAATCGGCCCACTGGTTTAAAAAATATAAGCTATTAAAATTAGGTCAAAAATCAAGTGCGTCACTTTTTTTGGAACTGAGTGTATTTAGAATTTATTATTACTTTTTTTTAATTATTTTATTGTTATTACTGATTGTTTTCTTTCTTTTTATTATTAATGGGTGAAGAAAAGTATTATTATTATTTTCTGCTGCTTCGAAAGTATGGAAATATATTGGTATCTGATCGAAGATGGTACTTGGAGTGGCTTTTAGCAGCAATCGGATTGCCTTGAAGGTAATTGTAGCAGAATTTGCTCAAAAGGCTCTCTGTTATAGAAACTACCACGAAATCTTCTTTAATGAATACATCTACTTTATTTAAGCAAACTTTACATACTCTGAAAACACTTATATCTTAACTAAAAATAAAATTTTAATTTCAACTCAATGTAGTTGAAATCTGTCTTGCGGGAGTTGAGTTTATGTCTTGGTCGAGATAACACCCGTTTTCCGTCGCGTGCGTTTATCGTCACTTTTCTCTTATTAGAATGCGTTTCACGGAGGAAAATTTGAAGGAGCTTTTTAACGATTCCATTAACGAACTTATCAAAAAGGAATCATTTTTATCTCAATTGGTGAATATCGTGAAAGAACATTTTGTCTCCGAAATCGAGGCCTTAAAGGTAGAAAATGAACAACTAAAAAGAGACAACGACTCGCTCGCCGAAAAAATGGATGAATTGCAGCAATACACGCGTCGCAACAGTGTGCGTGTGTTCGGAATACCTGAGAGCAAAGATGAAAACCAGGAGAGAGCGGTGTTATCCATATTTAATAATCAATTGGGGCTATCAGTTAATACCGAAAGTATCGACAGATGTCATCGTGTTGGTTNGTTATACATCGATTTAAAAAGAAAGCTTTAAGCTTCAATTTAAAATAAGTTTCATTTCTTAATTTCAATAAATACGGCTTCCAGAAATTTTTGAATTAGCATCTTTTTTTGACACTTAGATTATGCGAAAATGTTCGTTTTTGCTCAGTATGTTTTTTCTTAATATTCTATCAGATTTGCGTCGTTCTGTAGCTACAGGTCTGATAAATAAATATTCAAATTTGAAAGAACTGTTTTTCTGAATATCATAATGTTATTTAGCTAAAGCAAGTGTTACTTATTTTCTAACGTAATAAAAAATGTATTCTTTTTATATTAGCAATAAAAGGTTTTGTATACTGCAACACCACTGAAAATATTTTAATGCTTGACGGTACTTCCAAGTACCATTATCCCCCTGGAATGGGGCGATTGCATATTTTGCTAAAATTGATTCCAAAGGCCTTTACTGAGTGTATTTTGATAGCGTTTTAATTCTGTCACAAAGTTTCAACATTTTTGACTTCTTGGGACACAAAGGGTTAAACATAAAAGGATACCATCTCAATATTGTTACTTATGTATACAATTTTTAAAATACAATAGCTATTATACATAAAATACAACTTCAGAGTAATGTATTCTTTTCCTCTCTATCCCTCCATCCATAAGTCATACCTCAGCATCCATAAATATAAAATTTAATTATTAATCAATAGAAATAGACTTAATAAATTTTTTTTAATTAAATTTTAGTTAACAGACGTAGTTTTATTAGTTGGTGTGGAAATTTTTACAGCCCATAGGGTCGTTTTAGCTTCGATAAGTCCATATTTTTTTGCCATGTTCAACGGTGAGTACTCCAAAAAGCTTTCATTTAATTACTACATTCCCCTTTTCTAAGGCGAAATGAAAGAACATGAAACAAACGAGATCATTTTACACGAAATCGATGCGACAGCCGTCCAATTACTCATCGATTACGCTTACACCGGTCAAATTACGATCACCGCCGATAACGTCCAAGTTCTTTTACCGGCGAGCTCTTTACTTCAAATGGAAGAAGTTAGAGAAGCGTGTTGTCGGTTTTTAATGAAGCAACTTCACCCAACTAATTGTTTGGGGATACGAAGTTTCGCCGATACGCATTCTTGTAAAGAGTTGCATATAAAATCGCATTTTTTTGCGTTACAAAATTTCCAAGAAGTTGTTAACACCGAAGAATTCTTGTTATTACCGTTTAATGAGGTTAAAAAAAAATTAAGTTTTTGTGTTAATATTGAAGTGTTAATTTTTAGGTTGAGGAGTTAATCTCGAACAGCCAATTAAATATTTCTTCGGAGGAAGATGTTTTTACGGCCGTTTTAAATTGGGTTAAACATGATTTAACGAAGCGAAACGAATTTATTTCGAAGGTAACAAATTTTTATTATTTATTTAATTAAATAAAATTAATAAAGTATATTCTAGTTGATGCAACATGTTCGACTTCCGTTGGTTAATAGAGAATTTTTGATGACTCGGGTTGATAATGAAAGATTGGTGCGGGAAAACGGAGCTTGCCGAGAACTTCTTCTTGAGGCGATGAGGTACCATTTAGCCCCTGAACGAAGATGCGCCCTAACAACACCCAGAACGTTAGAAAGAAAACCGAAAGGGACTCAACCTTACCTTTTCGCAATCGGTAATTTTTTATTTTAACTTTTAGCGTCGTTCTTTTCGTCCAAAAAAACATCCATAAAAAACTTCATTATTTTCGGGTAATTTAAGTAAATTAAAACACCCGAAATCGCCCCAAAAATTAATATGAAAATTGCCACAAGCACTTTAACGCACATCTTTGATGTCAAATACAAACTGGTTCAAAAACTCGTCTAAATTTTCTTCTTTCAATCACTTTTGGGTGGGGGTTCTTTATTTGCAATTCATTCCGAATGCGAAGTTTATAACCCAAAAAAAGATTCTTGGGCTCAAATCGCATAAAAATTTAGTTTTAGTTCAATGAAAATATACGACAAATTAGAGCTAAAACTAGCATTAGAACTAACACTAGACTTGGAACTAGAAACATTTATTTATTTATTTATCAGTAGGGTATAAACAGGTAGGGTCAATGCGCCTGTTTTCGACCAATTAGAAAAAGAGAAAAGGCAAATATAACAGAAAAAATGTATAAATACTATTCACCTTTTTTAATGACAATATTTAGGGTTTAATAAATAATTTAGAATACTGTTTGTGTTATAACATACAACATTAATTTAAATAATACTTATTAACAATTGTTTAAAAAGTGCAATTTTAACCTAATTTTTATACTAGTTCTCGACCACAAGTTATGCGGTTTTTGAAATTTTTGTTAGAAAATAAATTAAAGACTTTTTACTATATAAAAATGAAACTAAAAATTTTAACTAATATTAGGATAACAACATATAAACCTATAAGAAACATAATAAAATAATAAGAAACCTATAAACATATAAGGTGTCTAGAACTTTATTCCATTATCATATCTAAATTGAACATTATTGTCATTCTGGTATATCATCCACCAAATGGAGATAAACAAGAGTTCCTTGATAGGATGGAAAGCATTCTTGATTACCTGACAAACACTCAACAGCACAAAACCATATTTATTATGGGTGACTATAATGTTTCTATAAATGAAAAATCTAGCGTGAGTGATAGATTAATGGCAGTAATGGCTGAATAGAGGAGTAGGAGGAAAAAGATGCGTTGATAATATCTTCGCACATAAATTCGTGGAAATATATAAAACAAATACAATTAATTTTCATTTAGGGGATCATTTTCATTCAGTTGAGTTTATGTCTTGGTCGGGGTAACACCTGTTTTCCGTCGCGTGCGTTTATCGTCACTTTTCTCTTATTAAAATGCATTTCACGGAGGAAAATTTGAAGGAATTGAAGGAGCTTTTTAACGATTCCATTAACGAACTTATCAAAAAGGAATCATTTTTATCTCAATTGGTGAATATCGTGAAAGAACATTTTGTCTCCGAAATCGAGGCCTTAAAGGTAGAAAATGAACAACTAAAAAGAGACAACGACTCGCTCGCCGAAAAAATGGATGAATTGGAGCAATACACGCGTCGCAACAGTGTGCGTGTGTTCGGAATACCTGAGAGCAAAGATGAAAACCCGGAGAGAGCGGTGTTATCCATATTTAATAATCAATTGGGGCTATCAGTTAATACCGAAAGTATCGACAGATGTCATCGTGTTGGTTCGCGGAATAAAAATCGAAAAAATCCACGTCCGATAATAGTAAAATTTGTTAGCTATCGAACCCGAGCGTTGGTTTGTACAGCTAGACGGAAACTGAAGGGGTCCGGAATTGTCGTACAAGAGGACTTAACAAGTAAACGCTTTAACTTACTTAAGCAAGCGCAATCAATTGTTGGACGAGGGAAGGCCTGGACTAGGGATGGCAGAGTCATGGTTGAATACAGAGGATCCGTTATGCAATTCAAGAATGCTGCTGATTTTTCTTCTGAAGGTTCGGTGAGACTGTCTCTCGCTTGAGATTTTATGCGTATCCGGCGTAGAAAACATAATTAACTTTAAACTAGTTTTCATTTAGTAAGATATCATTTAGTGGTAAGACAAGATTTTCTTTTTTTCTCATCTTTTTTTTTCTTTCTTTTTTGAATACAGGTTATTATTATTATTTTTTTTTTGTTATATTTTATTTTGCTTCCTGTTGTACTCGCGGAAACTATAATTTTCTTACATAAGTAATGCGCACGTTGGCGGAGATATAGTGTTGTAAGCAAGGTCGTATAAATTTACTTGTTTACTTTTATAAATACCTATATTATAGTTCTATGGTTAGAGTGCTAAAGTTTGGCCATCTCAATGTCAGATCGCTGGTGGCGCATTTCGACGAATTGAGTAGAGTCGTGGTCGACGGCAAGTATGACGTATTTGGAGTAAGTGAAACATGGTTGTCAGAACAGATTCCAAACGCTGCAATCACTATTCCGGGTTATAATGTTGTGAGACGTGATAGACAGACGAGGGGTGGAGGAGTGGCATTGTACCTGGCTCAGGGCCTGAAATATATCTGTGAGCGGGATATGGGGATTGTTGATAATGATGTTGAACAGGTCTGGGTCCGGTTGTTATTCAATTCATATGCATGTTCTTTTGGCTGCATTTATAGGTCCCCTGCCTCGAATGTATGTGCTTTTCTTGATAATTTATGCTCCACACTATGCTGCTTACAGGGTATTACTGACTATTTGTATTGCGCGGGCGATTTAAATATAAACATGCTGGATTTTAATAGCACATATACAGAGAGGTTTAATACGCTTTTAGAAGAGTTATCCCTTTCTCAGATGATAAATTCTCCTACCCGTATCACCACAAACTCGAGTTCCTTGATTGACTGTTTGATCACTAACAACCCGGACGGTTGTATTAACCAGGCAAGCATACCGATGCATATGTCAGACCACAATCTTGTTCAATGTGACATTACTATTTCTGATTCAAGGCCCATTCCGATTACCAAATTTTGTAGACCTATATCAAACATCGATGCCTATAGTCTGAAGGGTGATTTATCCCGGTTACCACTCTATGCAATCTATCATATAACTGATGTTAATCAGAAAGTACATTTTTTAAACACTCATCTTTTGGCACTTCTAGATTTTCATGCACCGGTTCGTCACTCAGATTACATAGGCCATTTGCACCATGGTTAACGGACACAATAAAACTAATGATGTCGCTGAGGGATAGAGCCTTATTTCGATATAAAAGAACTAAATTAATAGCGCACTTCGACTACTACAAGTCCTTACGCAACTTAACGACTTCTGCAATACGACGAGAAAAGAAATCTTTCTTAATTTGTGACTAGTGATGTAAAGAGTAGTTGGCGGCTGTTATCCAAGTTGCAGATTATCAACAGGTCCAAACCCACTGTTCCCGCACATTTAGATGATGTTGGAAATATTAATGATTATTTTGTGAATTCTGTTGGTTATGCTGATGTGGATGATGATTTGCTCACTTTTTATGGTACAAATATGCTTTACCCAAATTCCCATGAGAGATTTTCGTTTTGACTCAGTGACACCTCTTCGATCATTAAAATTTTAAATGGCATTAAATCAACATCTTCTGGTATAGACGAATTGAACATCACATTTATAAGAATGTGTCTCCCTGAAATATTGTCCTACATTGTACATATTATAAATACCTGTCTTAAACAGTCTATTTTCCCGGAAGCCTGGAAGATTGCTTTGGTAATGCCGTTGCCTAAAAAACCAAATCCAGCAGGTTTGGCGGACCTGCGTCCAATTAGTATCTTGCCAGTTATCTCAAAGGTGCATGGAGGTCCAATTGCGTAAATATATTAGTGATCATAACATCTTGCCCACCTCTCAGTCTGGTTTTCGACCTAACCATAGCTGTACAACGGCTCTATTAAAGGTAACAGACGATATTATTAGAGCTCGTGATGGTGGTGTATGTGGGATACTTGTACTGCTGGATACATTCAATGCTTTTAGCTCTTCTGCGCTATGTTGGTTTGTCCGACTCAGCGGTTTTGCTTTTGGAAAGTTTCCTATCCAATCGTGCTCAGATAGTAAAATTGAACAATGTATCTTCATCATCACTGCCTGTGAGAGTGGGAGTGCCACAGGGGTCTATTCTGGCTCCTCTATTGTTTTCCTTGTATACATCCCAGTTGCCTAAGTGCATTCAATATTCGTCGATACACATGTACGCAGATGATACCCAAATTTACACAACCTTTCCAAAGGAACATCTCGCTTCTGCTTGCTCAAAAATAAATGCAGATCTGAACGCTATTTTAGATTGCTCGCACAAGATGGCACTAACTCTCGATGCCACTAAATCTAAGGTAGTCATCTTTGGTAACTTGGACTCTGATGGTGTACCCTGAGTCAAGAAATCTGGGTGTGCTTTTCGACAGCAATCTGCGATTCAGCAGTCATGTCACTGCTTGCGTGAAAAAGGCATATGGTGTTCTTAGATGCCTCTATCAACACCGACACATTTTAAATATAATTACAAATAAACGTTTGTGCGAAACACTTGTTCTGTCAAATTTTGTGCATTGTGCTGGCATGTATGGTCCATGTTTAACTGGGTATGAACTTCATCGTATTCAAAGGGTTCAAAATAGCTGTCTTCATTTTATGTATGGCGTTCGTAAGCGTGAAAATATTAGTCACACATTGGTTATTGCAAAATGGTTAAATATCAGAAACAAATTCAAACATCAGTTCTTGTGTCTTGTGCACAAGTTAATTACTACGGGGACTCCACCTTACTTATATAATAACCTATAGGATCGATGTTCATAACTTGAATCTTAGACACAAAAATACTATCGCCGTTCCTGCTCACAGGAAAACTCTTTTTAGGCACTCTTTTTCATATAATGTGGCCAAGGAGTATAATTCCTGTCCTCCTGAATTTAAAAATAAAAGTCTATCCGTTTTTAAAGTTAACTTGCGTAACACCTTGTTTCGGCTTCAGATGGGTCAACATAATCCTTATGCTGCCTCAGTGTTCTGACATTGGGTTGTTATGTATTTATTGGTTATATTGCGGAAAACAATTGAATATGTAATTATTAGTCGTTCTGAACTCTAGGTTAAGTTGAACAGATGGCTTCCATCGCGATGGATGCCAATCTGGACTCCGCCTATTGGCCGTAGATTGTAATTAATTTCACATATAGAATGAATTTTTCATTTATTTTTTTTTTCTCTTTATATTATTGTTTAACTTTTTTATGTTGGTTGTTGCGGTCAATAAAGTGCTATTATTATTATATTATTATTATCCGGGAACACCTGACTTTTCCATCATTCCTGTGTTTCTAAAATTATATCAAAAATCATAAAAAGACGTTAATTGCACCTAGGAACTCACTTCAGAAGAATGGTTTCAATTGATTTACACCTTTCGAGTTATAAAAAAAAAAAGAATTTTTTTGCTAACTTTGAAGTCCTCTAGCGGCGAAACGAAGCAACTTTGGATATAGATAACTTAACTTAAATCGACCTATTTTGAGCCAAGGAATCTGTGGTCTTTCGTTGTACACGCATTTCGAAGACACCCTGTATATGTGCTATCAGGGTGACAAAATGTTTTAAATTTGTGAAGGAGTTTTTGGGTTTTTGAACTATTAGAACCTCATCTAAGGCAAACACTTACAACAAACCTTCCTGGGGAACTGCGGTCTAAATCTTTTGAGATTTGCTGTTGCACATCAAGTCCACCATGATGAAAATACTGTTCCCGATGGCAAGAAAAACTTGCAGTATTTGGCAGAAAAACGAATTAATGTTGCATCCGTTGTTCCAAGCCAATTTCCTTAGAATGTAGTCGAAAATTAATAATTATAATTTGAGCAGTTATTACTATGAATGAAGTTGTATAGACATGTTGTTTCTAATAAGGTTGATATTTCAATGTTTCGGGTTAAGGGTTAACTTAGATGTGAAGTTATTTTTGAGCAAATGGAAGCATTTGTTAGCTTAGAATCTCCAATCTTTGTCACCATATACACTGTGTTAATTAATTATCGTACCCGACGTTATCATTGCAAGTATGCAACCAATATCACAGTATTGCGCGATTTGCAAAATATCAATACTGTGATATTGGTTGCATACTTGCAATGATAACGTCGGATACGATAATTAATTAACACACTGTACTTGGTCTTTGTAAATTTTATCTTTAAACCCCTCTAAAAAAATCTAACGCTGAATAACATTTAAAACTAGAACTATAAACATTCGAATAAACTTGTTTAAATCTTTATCTTTAATTTTTTTTTATAGGTGGAGGTTCCTTATTTGCAATTCATTCCGAATGCGAAGTTTACAACCCAAAAAAAGATTCTTGGGCTCAAATCGCTTCGATGCAATGGCGTAGATCACGTTCGGGGGTCACTGGATTAAGCCGACTTCTTTATGTGGTCGGAGGATATGATGGGGCGTCCGATTTAGCAACTGCGGAGTCTTATAACCCGCTAACAAACACTTGGGGATCAATAACTCCAATGGGAACAAAAAGATCTTGTTTAGGAATTTGCTCTTTCGACGGGTTAATTTATGTTTGCGGTGGCTACGACGGCGCTTCTTGCTTATCAAGCATGGAACGTTTCGACCCATTAACCGGGATTTGGTGTAGTTGCCCCGCGATGTCCACCCGGCGAAGATATTGCCGAATTTCGGTTGTAGAAAATTGTATTTACGCCCTCGGTGGGTTTGATTCAACGAATTACCAAGCTTCCGTGGAGCGTTTCGATCCAAGAATGGGGACTTGGTTTCCTGTACCTTCGATGTCTTCGCGGAGAAGTAGTTGCGGGGTCGCTTCTTTAAACGGAAACTTGTATTGTATCGGCGGAAACGATGGGACAATGTGTATGTCGAGTGGAGAAAGATTCAATGTAAGACGAAACGCTTGGGAACCGATCCCATCGATGAATAATCGGAGGTCGACCCATGAAGTTGTCGCAATCGATGGGTTTATTTACGCTTTGGGCGGTAACGATGGGGCGTGCTCGTTGAATTCGGTGGAAAAATACGACCCAAAAACGAATAAGTGGGTTTTAGTGACATCTATGAATACGAGGAGGAGTTCTATCGGGGCTGCGATTTTAGATTGCATCGATATTGAAGCGGTTTTGAGGAGGATGAAGAGTTGACAATAAATTTTGTTTATAAAAGCTTGGCTTAAACAATTTATAGTTATTTTATCGTGATACACTTTGATTATTAATTAATTGTTGTTAAGCACTGCCATTTTAATGTATTTTGTAATTATTAAAAAATAAATGTTAAAACAAATTTTCTTACTGTTTTGTACCAGCGAATATCTCCATAAATCTGGGTAATTAAAAATAATTAATATAAAAGAATTCGAATTTTGTTACATAATCGCTCACAACTTATTTGATACACTACACAGTTTAAAATCTAAAGAGGTGTGAATTCTAAATTTTATTCACTTTTTAAACAAAATTTGAATTAATTGTTAAGAATAAATTAAATAAAAAACTTAATTTATTACTCAAAACTTTAAAGTCCCGGCCTCTTCGCTTTGTACACTGTAGACGTAGAAGATAAATTACAAATTTGATGAAAATCGTAAAAATAATCAAAAATCCTTTAATTTGATACCCAACAACCCATACTTTGGGTTAAATGACGTTAACTCAAAAATGACATTGACAGCCGCCATCTTTAATTTTATTTATTAAAAAACAACATTAGTTTAAACTTAAAAATTCTTTAAGAATTATATAAATGATTGAAATTTGTTCAATTTTTATATCCAACAAGCATATAAATTACAGAAATAAGAAAAACCGCCATTTTGTTTCTCAATTATTGTTTGTTAAATTTAATCATATCAAAATCGTAATATGCATGAAAAATCCTTTAATTTGATACCCAACAACCCATATTTTGGGTTAAATAACATAACCTCAAAAACGACATTCATATTCAAAAATTTGTTTAACCAAAAATTAACCAATTAGATCCCGATCTTCGTACAAATCAGACAATTTCATCTTGATTTGATGCGTCACAACCCATATTTACCATCAAATCCATTTTTAGTAGTAACCATTTTGTGTTCGGCCATCTTTAATTAAAATACAAGAATCCAGACATATCAAAATCGTAATAAGCATGAAAAATGCTTTAATTTGATACCCAACAACCTATACTTTGGATTAAATAACGTAACCTCAAAGATGACAATGACAGCCGCCATCTTGGATTTTCTTATTTATTTAATTTGGCATAGATTTGGGACTAATTGAGATAGACTCGTCGTGTTTGGACTCAAATTACTCGATTTTTAATTTTAAATCGATCAAAAATGGTTTAATTTCTCTTTTTGGAATATTAAAAATCAAAAATTAATCAATTAGATCTCGATCTTCATACAAATCAGACAATTTCATCTTGATTTGATGCGTCACAACCCATATTTACCATCAAATCCATTTTTAGTAGTAACCATTTTTTGTTCGGCCATCTTTAATTAAAATACAAGAATCCATACATATCAAAATCGTAATAAGCATGAAAAATGCTTTAATTTGATACCCAACAACCTATACTTTGGATTAAATAACGTAACCTCGAAGATGACAATGACAGCCGCCATCTTGGACTTTCTTATTTATTTAATTTGGCATAGATTTGAGATTAATTGAGATAGACTCGTCGTGTTTGGACTCAAATTACTCGGTTTTTAATTTTAAATCGATCAAAAATGGTTTAATTTCTCTTTTTGGAATATTAAAAATCAAAAATTAATCAATTAGATCCCGATCTTCATACAAATCAAACAATTTCATCTTGATTTGATGCGTCACAACCCATATTTACCATCAAATTCATTTTTAGTAGTAACCATTTTGTGTTCGGCCATCTTTAATTAAAATACAAAAATCCAGACATGTCAAAATCGTAATAAGCATGAAAAATGCTTTAATTTGATACCCAACAACCTATACTTTGGATTAAATAACGTAACCTCAAAAATGACAATGACAGCCGCCATCTTGGATTTTCTTATTTATTTAATTTGGCATAGATTTGAGACTAATTGAGATAGACTCGTCGTGTTTAGACTCAAATTACTCGATTTTTAATTTTAAATCGATCAAAAATGGTTTCATTTCTCTTTTTGGAATATTAAAAATCAAAAATTAATCAATTAGATCCTGATCTTCATACAAATCAGACAATTTCATCTTGATTTGATACGTCACAACTCATATTTACCATACAATCCATTTTTAGTAGTAACCATTTTGTGTTCGGAAATCTTTAATTAAAATACAAAAATCCAGACATATCAAAATCGTAATAAGCATGAAAAATGCTTTAATTTGATACCCAACAACCTATACTTTGGATTAAATAACGTAACCTCACAGATGACAATGACAGCCGCCATCTTGGATTTTCTTATTTATTTAATTTAGCATAGATTTGAGACTTATTAAGATAGACTCGTCGTGTTTGGACTCAAATTACTCGATTTTTAATTTTAAATCGATCAAAAATGGTTTCATTTCTCTTTTTGAAATATTAAAAATCAAAAATGAATCAATTAGATCCCGATCTTCATACAAATCAGACAATTTTATCTTGATTTGATGCGTCACAACCCATATTTATAATCAAATTTATTTTTAGTAGTAATCATTTTGTGTTCAGCCATCTTTAATTAAAATACAATAATCCAGAAATATCAAAATCGTAATGACCATAAAAAATGCTTTAATATGATACCCAACAACCCATATTTTGGGATAAAAATTTAATTTTTAAAATGACATTGACAGCCGCCATCTTGGATCTTATTGATTTTTAATTTTGTGTATATTTGAGACTATTTGAGATAAAACCATCGTGTTTGGGCTTAAATTTCTCGATTATTAGTTCTAAATCGATTAAAAATAATTTTGACTCCATTTTTTTGGAATATTTAAAAATTAATTTACACCAATAAATTACGAATTTCAAAAAAATTATAATAAGCATAAAAAATGCTTTAATTTGATACCCAACAACCTATATTTTGGGATAAAAATATAATTTTAAAAATGACATTGACAGCCGCCATCTTGGATTTTATAGATTTTTTATTTTACATATATTTGAGACTATTTGAGATAAAACCATCGTGTTTGGACTTAAATTTCCCGATTTTTAGTTCTAAATCGATTAAAAATAATTTTAACTCCATTTTTTGGAATATTTAAAAATTAATTTATACCAATAAATTAAGAATTTCATCAAAATCGTAATAAGCATAAAAAATGCTTTAATTTGATACCCAACAACCTATATTTTGGATTAAGTAACGTAACCTCAAAAATGACAATGACAGCCGCCATCTTGGATTTTCTTATTTATTTAATTTGATATAGATTTGAGACTAATTGAGATAGACTCGTCGTGTTTGGACTTAAATTACGCGATTTTTAATTTTAAATCGATTGGAAATAATATCAAACTCAATTTTTTTGAAAAAAAAATGTTCCACCTGAATTCATCCTAATAGCTTTTTTGTCTTGTTGAACCAATTGATCGCACAAAGTCCAGCTTTTGCAAAAGACAACATGCAAATTGATCTTAGTATGGCTCTGGTTATCTAAATGCCAGAATCGGAATCTCGAGCTGGTAAACAATACATATACGTATAAAGAGTTGCAGAATTCGCTAAAAATAATCCAACACTACCACCATTATTTATGTAATACTTGTTATTTGGGTTGCAGACACTCGTAAAGGGGAAATTTTACACTTTTATTTTTATATAATATTAATATGATAGATGTTTTTTCATACATATTACATATATTACTAAATATTGGTGATAACAAAACGATTTCTTTAAACAATTTTTTTTCCTAACATAAATTAAGCAATTTTAATCGCAAAAATTCTTTAAAACTGATTCGACAAGTTTCTCAACACCAAATGTAACATTTGAATTCTAACAAATCCAATTAAAAATTGAAAATGTACATATATACAGTATGTCCCCGGATCGAGTTACAAAGAGGAAAAAAAATTTATTAGTGATTTTTCAAACTTATCTCAGCATAAATAATCACCAATATTTAGTAATATATGTAATATGTATGAAAGAAGATGTTTAAAAAAAATCTATGAGATATAAATTTAAAAAATAAAAGGGTAAAATTTCCTCTATTAAAATTTGTGTCAATATTTGTTACGAATGTCTGCAACCCAAATAACAAGTAATTACATAAATAGCAAGGTCCGTTGAGTATTGGTTATAAGGTTATCCAACTGGAACAAATTGACGTTGACGGAGTGAGGTAGAATATTATAACATACAGGTGCTCATTATGTGTGGAATATAATATATACAGTATGTTAATTAATTACCGCACCGATGTCACCATTACAAGTATGCAACCAATATCACAGTGCAATACGCGTCATACGCAAATCGCGTATTATCAAATAAATACTGTGATATTGGTTGCATACCTACAATTTAATTTTGCATTCAATTGTTTTTATTTCAGAAAACAAATGAGCAACGAATAACACTTGAAGTTTTGTAAATGGCAATGTAGCCTTTCCTTAGGCTCATTTGATAGAGATTTGTTTTCTCTTTACGATAACCTAAAATTTTAGTACTCTTATATCAGAAAATTTTTGAAAAAAATTAAAAAATTGTTTATTAAGAAAATTTAACTAATACCATGAATCTAAATATCCGAGATCGTCAAGTACCTCGAATTCCGAACACTAGATATAGAACTAGAAACATTCGGGTTTAGCCGTCTTTAGAGACGTGCGGCTAAACCCGAATGATTCTAGTTCTAGATCTAATGTTAATTCTATTTCAGTAAAAATAGACAACAATTTAACGCTTAAAAAATAAATTTCAATGAAATTTTATGGTTGGCAATAAATAATTTAACGTTTACTAAAAAAAATAAGTCAATAAATACAAATAAAAACAAAACGTTGCGTTAAAATGCCGGACAATAACGAATAAAATTAATTTGACGTTTACAAAGTAAAGTTAGGTTTTATCTTTGTACATAATCACGTGGGAAATTAAAAATCCTTTAATTTGAGTCCAAACACGAGCGAATTATCTTAAAAAATACCCGAGATACCCCACATTTAATTTTGACGTAACCTCAAAAAAGTCACAACCGGAAGTTGGTGGTGCTTGTTGCTTTTTAAAATAACTAGACCGAGTTTGGGCTCATTTTAAAGGGAATTTAATGTAGATTACGAATACGATGCTAGATTAATCAAATTCGATAGTAATAAAAACAAAATGGAGGATGATTTAAGAAAAATGAACCAAATTAAATTCGCCGTGTATTTTTAGATTTAAAAATAAAGAATTCTATTATTATTTAATTAAAATTATTAGTCAAGATGGCGAAAAATATCAAACAATATTAATTTGACGTTTACAAAGTTAGGTTAGGTTCTCTTTTTATTCATAATCGGGTGGGGAATTAAAAATCATTTAAATCGAGTCCAAACTCGAACCGATTATCTCAAAAAGCACCCGAGATATCCAACATTTAATTTTGACATAACCTCAAAAAAGTGACAATCAGAAGTTTGTTATCTTTTAAGATAACCCCATCGAGTTTGGGCTCGTTTTAAAGAGAATTTAATGTAGATCACGAATACGATGATTGGATTAATCAAATTTGATAATAATACAAACAAAATGACTGATTATAAAGAAAAAATGAGGCGATCTTAACGAAATAAGATTTTTAGAAGTTTAATTAATCTTTTAGATTTAAAAATAAAGTTTTTCGTTATTATTTATAAGATATCACTATGTTGCATGTTTTTATTGAATGAAAACTAGAACTGACACTAGACCTAGTACTAGAATCATTCGGGTTTAGCCGTCTTTGGAGACGTGCGGCTAAACCCGAATGTTTCTAGTTCTAGGTATAGTGTTAGTTATAGTGACAGTGCTAGTGTAAAACTAGAACGAACACTAGACCCAGAACTAGAAAATATCGGATTTAGCCGCACGTCTCTCAATATGGCTAAATCCGAATGATTATAGTTCTAGGTCTTGTGTTAGTTCTAGTGATAGTGTAAAACTACAACTAACCCTAGAACTAGANCTCGCCCCAGGGGCTTTATTAGCACGTATAAAAAAATACGTAAACCTTATTTTTGGCCATACTATCGCTGTACCAAATTTCAACAAAATCGGTGAGGGACAGTTCTGATACTTCCCTTGTTAGTATGGCTCTGGTTATTTAAATGCCAGAATCGGAATCACGAGCTGGTAAACAATACATATACGTATAAAGAGTTGCAGAATTCGCTAAAAATAATCCAACACTACCACCATTATTTATGTAATACTTGTTATTTGGGTTGCAGACACTCGCAAAGGGGAAATTTTACACTTTTATTTTTATATAATATTAATATGATAGATGTTCTTTCATACATATTACATATATTACTAAATATTGGTGATAACAAAACGATTTCTTTAAACAATTTTTTTCCTAACATAAATTAAGCAATTTTAATCGCAAAAATTCTTTAAAACTGATTCGACAAGTGTCCCAACACCAAATGTAACATTAAATTCCAACAAATCCAATCAAAAATTGAAAATGTACATATATATATTATTGTGTGTAATTCGATTTCGATGTTTGAACGTTAGATGTAGCTCGCGTCGTTGTTTAGAATTAGACGCGACGCCGGCGCTTTTAAAACGCCGGCTTCGAACGTCGTTTTAGTCGATAACGCGACGTCGTCGGAAGACGATTCACCAGATCAAAAAAGAGATCCTGAAAACCGGGATCGTCGTGATAATCGGAAGCGCGGGGCGAAAAAGAACGAAATCGAACTGAACGAAACCCAAGAAAACTTCGACTTTGTCTCATTAATTCATTTCAATTTGTTTTTAATTCCCAAATAACCGATTTAACCGTGGAGGAAGCTTCTTACGTAATCGACGTCGTCGGGGGTCTTATTTTTTATTTCCGGGAGGGGGTGGTTTCAGTCGATGATGATGATGGTTCGCGAACGAAACTTTCGTTGTTATTTTTCGGCGACGTGATGATTATTTAGGTTAATGGGAATTAATTAAATACATTTTTTAAATTAAATAAACGCCGGTTATGTTGCTGTGACAACGCAGGAAAAGTTTTCGTTTCATTTTGATGGTCAGGGGCGGAGTCGCCGGAGGGTGAGGGGTGCAAAAATGGGGAAAAGAACCCGGAAAACTAGATGGAGGACTTTGGAGATTGGTGAGGATTTTTTTGTTACATAAAAATTTTATTTTATCTTCCCCGGATAAAGAGATTTATTGCTTATTGCATAATTGATCATTTTTTTACGAAATCTTTTACTACATCCAAATCGTTTTTATCTCCATTCAAGATTAAACAATCGTGCTGAAAATTCCACTTTTATCTTACATAATCGTGACGCCATTCACTCAAACTCACACCTCAATGAGAAAAAAACATTTTTGATTCGCAAAATTTCGAGGGATTGCGCAATTTTAATACATGTAATTATAAATAATGAGATTTTTTTCTTTAAAACGCTGACATTTAGATGGTAAAAATAAAATTTGGCACTCCGCTTCAACATCCGCATGTACAAGAAAATTTTAATCGAATCAAAAAAAATGATAAGAACCTTTGATCGATTTTGTTGCAGGTTAAAGGTTCGAAAAGATCTGATTTCTTTTTCAGATATCGATTCAAAACAATATAACCTATAAAACAGATGAGTTTCAAGTCTAAAACAAACATGTTACGCCACTGATTAAAACCAATTTAAAGTCAAAAGGGCAAAATTCAACGAAATTTTAACCCCATAAATTTATTACTTAACACATCAATGTTAGTAAAGCATTTTTTGATCACTCTTTGATTGACAACGACCAAATGGGCGTAAAGAATCATCACATCTGCTCTCTCTTAATGACTCTTTGACCTTTCCCATCAAAAAACTTTTTTTATCTCCCCCAGAACGATTCTTTCCATTTTTTTATGTTTAATAATACAAGGAGATCGTAATAGTTTTTAAATGTTTTTAAAGCGTGGTTAGTTGCACAACGCATCACCTCTCGCGTTCCTCCTTAAAATAAAACCCAAGGATATTTGGACAATACGTTATCGAGATTTAACTCCTTTCCAACCTAATTCAAAAAACGAAGAATCCGTTTACCATAACAATTCACGACGTACTCCTAAGTCGTAAAAGCACCTCTTCTCAAATCTCACCAAGAAAATAAATTCTTTCGTAATTTTAAATTGAGGATAGGAAAACTTTTAACGCCTTTAAATTGGGCTTTATTAAGACTAATTCAATTTTAACGTGGAAATCACTTCTCCTAAGCTACCACTCCTTTGGATTTCAGTGCTACTACAAACAGATTTAACGGTTGTTTAGGAAGCGATTACGTAAAAGAATTAAAAACGTTGGTTTTCGGCCAACAAAAACAAAAAAAAACCTACTCTAAAGATATTTTGGTTTGAATGAACTCGACTCACTCGACATAATTACGTATTCAACAAGCTAAAAATGCTTCAATATTCAGAGGGAATATTTTTAATTTTTTTTTGAATCAAAACATAAAAAATCCTTTAATTTGATACCCAACAACCCATATTAAATCAATTAAAAACAATAAAATCCGCCATTTTGCTTTCAATAATTTTTTAAAATCCCAAAAATGTTAAAATCGTAATAAGCAAGAAAAATGCTTTTATTTGATACCCAACAACCCATATTAAATCAATAAAAACAATAAAATCCGCCATTTTGTTTTTCAATAATTTTTTTAAATCTCAAAAATGTTAAAATCGTAATAAACAAGAAAAATGCTTTAATTTGATACCCAACAACCCAAGTCAAATCAATTAAAAACAATAAAATCCGCCATTTTGTTTTTCAATAATTTTTTAAAATCTCAAAAATGTTAAAATTGTAACAAACAAGAAAAATGCTTTAATTTGATACCCAACAACCCAAGTCAAATCAATTAAAAACAATAAAATCCGCCATTTTGTTTTTCAATAATTTTTTAAAATCTCAAAAATGTCAAAATCTTTAATTTGATACCCAACAACCCAAGTCAAATCAATTAAAAACAATAAAATCCGCCATTTTGTTTTTCAATAATTTTTTAAAATCTCAAAAATGTCAAAATCGTAATAAGCCAGAAAAATGTTTTAATTTGATACCCAACAACCCATATTTTGGGATAAAAATATATTTTTAAAAATGATATTGACAGCCGCCATCTTTGATTGTATTGATTTTTAATTTTGTGTATATTTGAGACTATTTGAGATAAAACCATCGTGTTTGGGCTTAAATTTCCCGATTTTTGGTTCTAAATCGATTAAAAATAATTTTTACTCAATTTTTTGGAATATTTAAAAATTAATTTATACCAATCAATGAAAAATTTCATCAAAATCGTAATAAGCATAAAAGATGCTTTAATTTGATACCCAACAACCCATATTTTGGGATAAAAATATATTTTTTAAAATGACATTGACAGCCGCCATCTTGGATCTTATTGATTTTTAATTTTGTGTATATTTGAGACTATTTGAGATAAAACCATCGTGTTTGGGCTTAAATTTCCCGATTTTTAGTTCTAAATCGATTAAAAATAATTTTGACTCAATTTAGTGGAATATTTAAAAATTAATTTCTAGCAATAAATGAAAAATTTCATAAAAATCGTAATAAATATAAAAAATGCTTTAATTTGATACCTAACAACCCATATTTTGTGATAAAAATATAATTTTAAAAATGACATTGACAGCCGCCATCTTTGATCGTATTGCTTTTTAATTTGGTGTGTATTTGAGACTATTTGAGATAAAACCATCGTGTTTGGGCTTAAATTTCCCGATTTTTAGTTCTAAATCGATTAAAAATAATTTTGACTCAATTTTTTGGAATATTTAAAAATTAATTTACACCAATAAATTAAGAATTTCATAAAGATCGTAATCAGCATAAAAAATGCTTTAATTTGATACCCAACAACCCATATTTTGGGATAAATAATAATTTTAAAAATGACATTGACAGCCGCCATCTTGGATCTTATTGATTTTTAATTTGGTGTATATTTGAGACTATTTAAGATAAAACCATCGTGTTTGGGCTTAAATTTCCCGATTTTTGGTTCTAAATCGATTAAAAATAATTTCGACTCAATTTTTTGGAATATTTAAAAATTAATTTATACCAATAAATTAAAATCGTAATAAGCATTAAAAATGCTTTAATTTGATACCCAACAACCTATACTTTGGATTAAGTAACGTAACCTCAAAAATGACAATGACAGCCGCCATCTTGGATTTTCTTATTTATTTAATTTGGCATAGTTTTGGGACTAATTGCGATAAACTCGTCGTGTTCGGACTCAAATTACTCGATTTTTAATTTTAAATCGATCAAAAATGGTTTCATTTCTCTTTTTGGAATATTAAAAATCAAAAATGAATCAATTAGATCCCGATCTTCATACAAATCAGACAATTTCATCTTGATTTGATGCGTCACAACTCATATTTACCATACAATCCATTTTTAGTAGTAACCATTTTGTGTTCGGCCATCTTTAATTAAAATACAAAAATCCATTCATATCAAAATCATAATAAGCATAAAGAATGCTTTAATTTGATACCCAACAACCCATATTTTGGGATAAAAATTTAATTTTAAAAATGACATTGACAGCCATCTTGGATCTTATTGGTTTTTAATTTTGTGTATATTTGAGACTATTTGAGATAAAACCATCGTGTTTGGGCTTAAATTAATCGATTTTTAGTTCTAAATCGATTAAAAATAATTTTGGCTCAACCTTTTGGAATATTTAAAAATTAATTTATACCAATAAATTAAGAATTTCATCAAAATCGTAATAAGCATAAAAAATGCTTTAATTTGATACCCAACAACCCATATTTTAGGATAAAAACATAATCTTAAAAATGACATTGACAGTCGCCATTTTTAATTTTATTTATTATAAACAAATTTTAATTTAAACTTAAAAATTCCTTGAAAATCATATAAATGATTGCATTTTTTTTTAATTTTTATATTCAACAAGCATTTTAATTATAGAAATAAGAAAAAAACCGCCATTTTGTTTCTCAATTATTTGTTTTTAATTTAAAAATATCAAAATCGTAATAAGCACGAAAAATCCTGTAATTTGATACCCAACAACCCATATTTTGGGTTAAATAACATAACCTCAAAAATGACATAATTAATAGCCGCCATCTTAAATTTTATAATTTTTGTTAATTTTGCGTATCTTTGTCAATTTTTTAGATAAATTGGTCGTGTTTGGACTCAAATTACTCGATTTTTAATTTTAAATCTATCAAAAATGGTTTTATTAATCTTTTTGGAATATTAAAGAACAAAAAATTTTTTTAACCAAAAATGAATCACTTAGAACCCGATCCTCATACAAATCAGACAATTTCATCTTGATTTGATACGTCACAACCCATATTTACCATCAAATCAATTTTTAATAGTAGCCATTTTGTGTTCGGCCATCTTTATTTAAAATACAAAAATCCAGACATATTAAAATCGTAATAAGCATGAAAAATCCCTTAATTTGATACCCAACAACCTATACTAAGGGTTAATTAACATAACCTTAAAAATGACATTGACAGCCGCCATCTTGGATTTTCTTATTTATTTAATTTGACATAAATTAAACTCTAAACCTACCAATTCATTAAAAATCATAAAAATAATTCAAAATTTTTTTAATTTGATACCAAAAACGCAAAAATCGCCATTTTGTTTCTTAATTACTTTTTTAGCCTAAATATTTCGAAATCGTAATAAGCATGAAAAATCCTTTAATTTGATACCCAACAACCTATACTTTGGATTAAATAACGTAACCTCAAAGATGACAATGACAGCGACTGTCATCGCCATCTTGGATTTTCTTATTTTTTTAATTCGGCATAGATTTGAGACTAATTGAGATAGACTCGCCGTGTTTGGACTTAAATTACTCGATTTTTAATTTTAAATAGATTGGAAATACCTTCAAACTCAATTTTTTCAAAAATTAAATAGTTTGTTCGAAAAATAAAAAATTAAGATTCTTTTTTTCCTTAAAAATCATAAAAGAAATTAAAAATCCTTTTAATAAACATAAAAAATTCTTTAATTTGATACCCAACAACCCATATTTTTGATTAAGTAACATAATCTTAAAAATGACATTGACAGCCGACATCTTTAATTTGATTTATTTTTAAATTGTTTTTCTTAACCCAATAACTTATTAAAAATCGTAAAAATCATGAAAAATATTATTCATCAAAACCATATTAAATTAATGAAATAACACAAAAATCGCCAATTTGTTTTCAAATTATTTTTTTTTAACTTAATTGTTTAAAAATCGTAATAAGCGTGAAAAATGCTTTAATTTGATACCCAACAACCCATATTTTGGATTAAATTGTAACCTTAAAAATGACATTGACAGCCGCCATCTTTGTTTTTATTATTTTTAATTTTGTGTATCTTTGGAACCGTTTGAGATAGACCCATCGAGTTTGGACTTAAATCACTCGATTTTTAATATTAAATCGATTAAAAATAATTTCAAACTCAATTTTTTGAAAAATTAAAAAATGTATTCGAAAATTAAAAAAATTAAAATTTTTTTTTTCCTTAAAAATCACAAAGAAAATTAAGAATTCTTTTAAATGAGTCCAAACTCGATAAGGTTATCTTAAATACAACTTTTAAAATGACATTGACAGCCGCCATCTTGGATTTTATTGTTTTTAAATTCGTAATTGTAATAAACATAAAAAATTCTTTAATTTGATACCCAACAACCCATATTTTTGATTAAATAATATAATCTTGGTAATGACATTGACAGCCGATATCTTTAATTTGATTTATTTTTAAATTGTTTTTCTTAACCCAATAACTTATTAAAAATCGTAAAAATCATTAAAAATATTATTCATCAAAACCGTATTAAATTAATGAACACGAAAATCGCCATTTTGTTTTCTAATTATTTTTTTTTAACTTAATTGTTTAAAAATCGTAATAAGCGTGAAAAATGCTTTAATTTGATACCCAACAACCCATATTTTGGATTAAATTGTAACCTTAAAAATGACATTGACAGCCGCCATCTTTGATTTTATTGTTTTTTAATTTTGTGTATCTTTGGAACCGTTTGAGATAGACCCATCGAGTTTGGACTTAAATCACTCGATTTTTAATTTTAAATCGATTAAAAATAATTACAACTTAATTTTTTGAAATATTGAAAAAATTAATTTCTTTTAAATCAAAAATGAATCAATTAGAACCTTATTTTTGTATAAATCGAACAAATTCATCTTGATTTGATGTGTCACAACCCATATTTATTACAAAATTCAATTTTGAAACGCCATTTTGTTTTCGGCCATCTTGGATTTATTTATTTTTTTAATTTTGTGTATCTTTGGAACCGTTTGAGATAGACCCATCGAGTTTGGACTTAAATCACTCGATTTTTAATTTTAAATCGATCTAAAACGGTTTTAGCTCAATTTTTTGAAAAATTAAAAAAATAATTTAGAATTATGAATGAAAAATAATTAAATTTTCGAGTTATATGACTTTCGGGAGTTAATAAGCGATTTATATCTCATCTCGGAGTGGATTCTTGTTAGTTTAAGATAAGATATCGAAATGATTAGTTATGATTTTGAAGAGTGTAGCAAAAAAATGATTGATAAATCAATTTTTTTTGAATATCACCCTGTATTATTCAAATATTTTTACGTGAGTGCGTATGTACGCGGTTAGGCTCGCGCGCACGCGGTTTTCAGACTAAAATAGCATAGTGTCGGCGTAACAGAAATATATCTAGGAACCCGTGACCGCGGCTCTCGTGATTTCTGACAATTATGAACCGTTACATGTTACATACCTAGTTTTGATCCTCAGTCTCGTGGCCGTCTCATGACTAATCTAAAAAAAGAAAACGATTTTGAGATATAACTAAATTTAAAATAATATGTATATATAATTTTTTTTTTATTTTAATTTTTAGGTGATAGTGACAGTGAGGAAAGCTGTTCACATCAGCCCCAATCGACGCCAAGGGGTTTCCACCCTCGACCTTATTATTCGAAATTTCACACTTTCTCATCGAGTCAATCGACGCCAACGAGAAGGTTTAATAACGGTTGTGATAATAATAAATCGACGAGGTCTAGTAGTACAGCAAGCGATACGAAAATTACGTTCAATGAAGGTAAGGATACATTAAAAAAAATTTATTATTTCAAGGTGAAACGTAAAAAGACTTAATTTTTTATTTTCTAATCAATTTAAATTAAAAAAAACGAAAAATTATGAAATGTTGTGATGAAAACAATGTTGTAATTATCTATTATTAGATTTATGCTATTTAATTTCGCGCCACGCACCGAAAAGGTACTGTTACAATTCAGAAAACGATGAACCGACCACGAAACTCGTTGGCAACGTGCAATTTAACATTGACACAGTTCGTTAAGCGTTAAAATGCCGTTTTGTAACCTACTATAACATACTTCGAAAAAAAGGAATAAATACAAAAAGAAATTATATTTAGACTTATTTGAATTTGAAATCAATATTTTTAAATTCAAATCAGTTCGATGCATAATTCAAGATTTTTTTTTGAGATTAAATCTTTTTTTGTTGCAAACTTACATGTTAAATATGTTATTATCAACTTGTTTTAAAGTATGCTTACATGTTGTAAGTGGGTAAACAGAAAAAAAAATATATCAGGATTTATCACGAAATCCAGTGATGATGTGATGGTTGTGGTTGCTTGGCTTACTCCTTGGGTGCTCGTTAAATATTTACCTTTTCAAAGCGCAAGATTACGAATCGCTGACACGAGAGGATTTTGTACCCAACACATTGTAAAAAAAATCCGAGATCCGTTCGTTCTGTTTATTTTGATATTTGAAAAATAAAATTTATTATCTCGGCTCCTAAATCACTCCATACTTTGGTGGATAGATAAAGAATTAGACTACTACTTGTATTTATGACACCAATTTAATTTACGCCTCAAAAAAAGTTTTTTAATAAACATTAACTTCAATTACAATTTTAATTTTAATATTTAAAACGCGATAAACACAAAAAATGCTTCAATTTGATACCCAACAACGCATATTTTGGGTTAAAATTGACATTGATATCTCTCAACTTTAATTTGGTTGTCAATGTCAACTTTAAAATAAGTAACAACTTAAAATTAATGTAATTTTGAACGAATAATTTCCTATAACAGTAATAATTATGAAGATAACCTCAAAAAATTAAAATTTTCTACCACTATACAGCGCCACCTGGCGGAGATATAAAAAAATTTTATTAAAAAAATCGATTTTAAATCGAATTTGAAACAAGTTTTGTTTGAAACAATTTTCGATTAAATCGAATTTTTGATATTAATATACAGGATCGTGCAAAAATTTGGCGATTAAATACAACTACGAAAATCTCTTGAAAAATTAAAGAGTTAATTTAATTTTAATGCGAAAATTTGATAAAAATCATATTAATAATCAAAAACCCTTTAATTTGATACCCAACAACCCATATTTTAGGTTAAATAACATAACTTGGAAGATGACATTGAAAGTTGCCATCTTTAATTTTATTATTGTTGTTAAAATTTTTCTATTAATGTTAAATTAATGTTAATTATTCAATTTGATATGTATCAACCCATATTAATTTAATGAAATAACGTAACTTTAAAAATGACATTGACAGCCGCCATTTTGGATTTTTTTATTTTTTTGTATATTAGGACCTATTTGAGATGAAACCATCGTGTTTGGACTTAAATTACTCGGACTTTAATTTTAGAAGACTTAATTTAATAATAAAAATTTAATTTTAATAAAGAAATTAAAATTTGATAAAAATCTCATAAATAGTCAAAAATGCTTTAATTTGATACCCAACAACCCATATTTTGTTTTTATACCATTAAAAACCGCCATTTTGCTTTTCAATTACATTTTTAAAACTTAATAATTTCAAAATCGTAATAAGCATAAAAAATCGTTTAATTTGATACCCAACAACCCATATTTTGGATTAAACAACATACTCCCAAAAATGACATTGACAGCCGCCATTTTAAATTTTATGATTTCTTTAAAATTCTCCCATTAAAGTTAAATTTAGTTAAAAATGACAAAAATTGATTCATTTGATACCAGTATTAATTCAAAGAAATAACACAAAAACCGCCATTTTGTTTTTCAATTAATTTTTTAAAACTTAATAATAGCAAAATCGTAATAAGCATGAAAAATCGTTTAATTTGATACCCAACAACCCATATTTTGGGTTAAATAACATAACGTTAAAGATGACATTGACAGCCGCCATCTTGAATATTTTCTTTTTAATTTTGCATAATATCTTTGAGATTAATTGAGATAGACCCATCATGTTTGGACTTAAATTACTCGGTTTTTAATTTTAAATCAATTAAAAATAATTCCTACCCAATTTTTTGAAAAATTAACAAAGTTAATTTAACATAATCCCAGAAATGACATTGATAGCCGCCATCTTTAATTTTATTGTTATTTTTTTAATTCTTCTATTAAAGTTAAATTTTGTTAAAAATCACAAAAATTCTTTAATTTGATACCCATATTAGTTCAAAGAAATAACACAAAAGCCGCCATTTTGTTTTTAATTAATTCTTTAAAACTTAATAATAGCAAAATCGTAATAAGCATGAAAAATGCTTTAATTTGATACCCAACAACCCATATTTTGGGTTAAATAACATAACGTTAAAGATGACATTGACAGCCGCCATCTTGGATATTGTTTTTTTTTAATTTTGCATATCTTTGAGATTAATTGAGATAGACCCATCGTGTTTGGACTTAAATTACTCGGTTTTCAATTTTGAATCGATTAAAAATAATTCCTACCCAATTTTTTGAAAAATTAACAAAGTTAATTTAACACAATCCCAAAAATGACATTGACAGTCGCCATCTTTAATTTTATTGCTTTTTTTTTAATTCTTCTATTAAAGATAAATTTTGTTAAAAATCACAAAAATTCTTTAATTTGATACTCATATTAGTTCAAAGAAATAACACAAAAGCTGCCATTTTGTTTTTTAATTAATTTTTTAAAACTTAATAATATCAAAATCGTAATAAGCATAAAAAATCGTTTAATTTGATACCCAAAAACCCATAATTTGGGTTAAATAACATAACGTTGAAGATGACATTGACAGCCGCCATCTTGGATATTATTATCTTTTAATTTCGTATATCTCTGAGATTAATTGAGATAGACCCATCGTGTTTGGACTTAAATTACTCGATTTTTAATTTTTAATCGATTAAAAATAATTCCTACCCAATTTTTTGAAAAATTAAAAGATTAAATCGAAAATTAAGAAAACCCAAAATCTTTTAATTTTATAAAAATCGCAATGAAAATTAAAAATCCTTTAATTTGATACCTTACAACCCATATTTTGGGTTAAACAACATAATCCCAAAAATGACATTGACAGCCGCCATTTTTAATTTTGTTATTTTTTTAAAATTCTTCCATTAAAGTTAAATTTTGCTAAAAATCATAAAAATTCTTTAATTTGATACTCATATTAATTCAAAGAAATAACACAAAAGCCGCCATTTTTTTTTAATTAATTTTTTAAAACTTAATAATATCAAAATCGTAATAAGCATGAAAAATCGTTTAATTTGATACCCAACAACCCATATATTGGGTTAAATAACATAACCTTAAAAGTGACATTGACAGCCACCATCTTGGATATTATTATTGTTTAATTTTGCATATCTCTGAGATTAATTGAGATAGACCCATCGTGTTGGGACTTAAATTACTCGGATTTTAATTTTAAATCGATTAAAAATAATTTCTACTAAATTTTTTGAAAAATTAAATAACCCAAAATCGTTTAATTTTATAAAAATCGCAAAGAAAATTAAAAATCCTTTGAAACGAGTGCAAACTCGATGGGGTTATCTCAAAAAACACCCGAGATATGAACATTTTTAATTTTAAACATAACCTCAAATTTATTAATTTTTCTTGTATCTTCGTCGTTTTTTGAGATAACCCCATCGAGTTTGGACTCATTTTAAAGGATTTTTTATGAACATTAAGAATAACATAAAGATGGCGACATTAACCGGAAGTTGCACATCTCGGTTATTTTTAAAGATAAATGTGTCGTGTTTGTACTCGTTTTGAAGGATTTTTAACGAGGATTACGATTATCATTAAATAAAAATTATTTTTTTTTACAGATGAATACACTAAAATTACAACCCCGCGCCAAGACGTCCTATTCAAGAAGGGATATCTTAATAAGCCGAGAACGTATCAAACTCAAACGTCGACGGGAAATTCAACTTCCGCATCAACGGGAAATTCAACCGGAAATGGAACTCCTGATCATCAATCAGCTGGTAATAATATTTTTTTTTATATACTTTGTATATATATTTTTTTGATTATTTAATTATTTTTTTTTAGATGGGACGGAATGTACGGATGTAGAATACGAATCCCAATTCGTCTTCCCAACTTTCCTCGACCACAACGGCATCTATTATGTAAATAGTAAGTAAATAGTGTAAAATGTAGAAGTTAATTTTTTAAAAGGGTTGCTACGACGAGCGATTTTTGGCAAAGCTTAACCAGAAACTTAACACTCCTGAACTAAATTTAACACCTTGGCATTTAAGTTTGGCAGTTTTTTTCTCTTTGGTAACGCATTCGGGCAAAAAAATCGTTTTATTTTGACAACGTCACGTTGAAATCGATCAAAAAATTGATTTTAACCCTCGACTCTTTTTAATAAGATATTTAAATAAAAAAATTAATTCATCAACAGGTTTCGAACCTTACCCCCTGATGATGTACAACCCGCAAGTTTGTTACCCGGAATTTCCGGTTTCGAGAACGAAACGTCTCAGCACAGGATCTTTGGTGAGTTATTCTTTTATTTAAAGACTATTTTAAGTTAAAAAGTCTTCGAGAATGTCTTAAGATCGTTAGCGATCCTCGAAATAACAACCCAAGTCACCCTATTGGCAGCCTTAACTCGCCTATTTTAAGCTCGTTACAGCAAGAACGCACGCAAAACCAAAGATAAAACCAATTCTATTTCAAAAATGGTTGTTGTATCGATCGATTTTGTAATTTTTACGACTCTACCTGATTTACGGATTTACACCGTGTCTATAAATAGTGTAAACACCGCTTATCTCAAGTTGGGAAAGATTTTTTCTCACCGCGCTTAATAAAACCAGACAACGTTTACAAACTACTTTTATCTCAACCTCTTCACAACACTCGTCCCAAAAATAGAAACGCATAAAAATGTTAATCAAAATTTAATAATTTAAAAATATCTCATTTAAAACGGAAACAACCAATAGTGAATCTCTTCATGTCCCTTTTATCCGCACTACAAATAACCGAAAACGGCCATAAATCCAAAAAATACGACAAAATTGCAAAAAGTAAAAACGCCGCCATCAAAAACGCAAAATAATTAAATGAATCTTGGTTTTTAAATTCTGAATTTTCGTTGTAGTAATCCGATTTTGGTGCAATATCGCAACAAAGTGGTGTCGTTTTTGTTAGGTTCGTTTTCTTTTTGTATTTGATCGATTTAATCGTTCCTTGGCTTGGACAACTTATTGTAATTGGCGAAGACATCGTTAAACTTTTTTTTCTTGATTCCTTCCTCCAATTTAATTCGCAAGAATTACTTCGACCGTTATTGTTGTTATACAATAAACAGGACGTCGTTGATAATTTTTGATTATTAAAATCTTTAATTTCCTTCAAATCTTTGTAATCTTTGTAACCTTTGTATTTTGGTAGGCCGCAAAAATCGCATTGATTTCTTTCTTGCTCGTTCAACGGTTTGTAACAAATTTCGCATCGATCGTTATCGTTTGATGGAATCTTTTTTGTCGTCGAATCGTTTCCTTCGATTTTCTCGTTGCAATAAACCTCAATGCACACTTTATTCGGGGAGAACATCTTCATCAGATTCGCCCAAACCGTCGAAGACGAAACGCTTTGTTCGACGTCGTTTTCTTCGTTTAATTTTTCTTTCGACTTTTTTATCACCAAAATCGGATGGGAACCCATTTTTATTTATAATTTTTTTTTAATGAAGAGATATTGTTAAAAATCACTGAGAATTTTGAGAGAATTTTGATGACACTTAATTGTCTTTGACTTTTATTTCAATGAAAGCTGACGTTTATCATAGTCATAGTATCATAGTTAATTTTAATAAATTAACAAAAAAATTGATTTAATTAAAATTAAATTCCCCATAAGATTTCCTTTAAAACGAGTACAAACACGACATGTTTATCTTTAAAAATAACCGAGATGTGCAACTTCCGGTTGATGACGCCATCTTTATGTATTCTTAATATTCATTAAAAATCATTAAAAATGAGTCCAAACTCGATGGGGTTATCTCAAAAATCGACGAAGATACAACAAAAATTAATAAATTTGAGGTTATGTTCAACATTAAAAATGTTTTTTTAAGATAACCCCATCGAGTTTGGATTCGTTTGAAGGGATTTTTAATTTCCTTTGCGATTTTCATGAAATTAAAAGACTTTGGGTTTTTTAATTTTCGAATTAATTTTTCCAAAAAATCGAGTATGAATTAATTTTAATCGATTTAAAATTAAAATCCGAGTCATTTAAGTCCAAACACGATGGGTCTATCTCAATTAATCTCAGAGATGTGCAAAATTAAAAGATAATAATATCCAAGATGGCGGCTGTCAATGTCATCTTTAACGTTGTGTTATTTAACCCAAAATATAGGTTGTTGGGTATCAAATTTAACGATTTTTCATGATTATTACGATTTTGATATTATTAAGTTTTAAAAATTAATAAAAAAACAAAATGGCGGATTTCGTGTTATTTCTTTGAATTAAAATGGGTATCAAATTAAAGAATTTTTGTTATTTTTAACAAAATTTAACGTTAATAGAATAATTTAAATAAATAAGAAAATTAAAGATGGCGGCTGTCAATGTCATTTTTGAAATTATGTTGTTTAACCGAAAATATGGGTTGTTTTATCAAATATTAGTTTTTTTTTATTTTAAAATTGAATTTTATTATTAAAAAATCTTTTAATTTTATAAAAATCGCAATGTAATAACACAAAAACCGCCTTTTGTTTTTTGTTTAATTTTTTAAAACTTAATAATAGCAAAATCGTAATAAGCATGAAAAATCGTTTAATTTGATACCCAACAACCCATATTTTGGGTTAAATAACAAAACGCTCAAGATGACATTGACAGCCGCCATCTTGGATATTATTTTTTTTTAAATTTTGCATATCTAATTGAGATAGACTCATCGTGTTTGGACTTAAATTACTCGGATTTTAATTTTAAATTGATTAAAAATAATTCCAACTCAATTTTTTGAAAAATTAAACAATTAATTCAAAAATTAAGAAAAACTAAAATCTTTTAATTTAATAAAAATCGTAAAAAAAATTAAAAATTCTTTGAAACGAGTACAAACTCGATGGGGTTATCTCAAAAAGCACCCGAGATATGAACATTTTTAATGTTGAACATAACCTCAAATTTATTAATTTTTGTTGTATCTTCGTCGTTTTTTGAGATAACCCCATCGAGTTTGGACTCATTTTAAAGGATTTTTTATGAATATTAAGAATACATGAACATATAATACAAGAACACAATCACGACATATTTATCTTTAAAAATAACCGAGATGTGCAACTTCCGGTTGATGACGCCATCTTTATGTATTCTTAATATTCATAAAAAATCATTAAAAATGAGTCCAAACTCGATGGGGTTATCTCAAAAAACGACGAAGATACAACAAAAATTAATAAATTTGAGGTTATGTTCAACAATAAAAATGTCAATATCTCGGGTCTTTTTTGAGATAACCCCATCGAGTTTGGATTCGTTTGAAAGAATTTTTAATTTCCTTTGCGATTTTTATGAAATTAAAAGATTTTGGATTTTTTAATTTTCGAATTAATTTTTTAATTTTTTTAAAAATCGATTAGGGATTACTTTTAATCGATTTAAAATTAAAATCCGAGTAATTCAAGTCCAAACACGATGGGTCTATCTCAATTAATCTCAGAGATGTACAAAATTAAAAGATAATAATATCCAAGATGGCGGCTGTCAATGTCATCTTTAACGTTGTTATTTAACCCAAAATATAGGTTGTTGGGTATCAAATTAAAGCATTTTTCATGATTATTACGATTTTGATATTATTAAGTTTTAAAAATTAATAAAAAAAACAAAATGGCGGATTTCGTGTTATTTCTTTGAATTAATATGAGTCAAATATGGATCAAATTAAAGAATTTTTAACAAAATTTTATTTTAAAGAAGAATTCAAAAAAAAAAAAAATTAAAAATGGCGACTGTCAATGTCATTTTTAAAATGATGTTATTTAACCCAAATTATAGGTTGTAGGATATCAAATTTTTTATGCTTATTACGAATTTGATGTTTTTAAAATTAAGAAAAATAATTCAAAGACAAAATGGCGGTTTTTATATTATTTTAGTTAGTTTTGATCGTTTAGTCTAAGCACGATGGGTCTATATCAAATAGTACTAAAAATATGTTGAATTAAAAAAAGAATAAAATCAAAGATGGCGGTTGTCAACGTCATCTTTGACATTAAATTATTTAACCTAAAATATGGGTTGTTGGGTATCAAATTAAAGCATTTTTTATATAGATTAAGAGTACACCAAAATGAATGTGACATTTTCAATCGTATTCTACATTAAATATATGGACAATATAATTTTCGGTAATCAATATCAAGCTTAGTTAATATTATATACAATGATAACCTAATCTATTAGTAGTAGCTTTTAATTTTAATTTAGTCGCCAAATTAAAAATGAAATGTTTTTTGCGCGACTCTGTACATCTATAAAATATTTTTGATTTAATCCAAAATTGTTTCAAATAAAAATTGTTTCAAATTCGATTTAAAATCGTTTTTTTTAATAAATCTTTTTTATATCTCCGCTTGCTCGCGCTGTATATTAGTAGAAAACATTTAATTTTTGAGGTTATGTTCATAATTATTGCTGTTATTGAAGATTATTGCCATTCAAATTTGTTCAAAATTACATTGATAACAATTTCCATGAATAATTCTCAAAAAAAAAAATAAATAAATAAAAATTGTAAAAATAAAATAATCATCCTGTATATTTTATAAATTTTTGAGTGGAATTTATTGTTAATCGATTTAAAACTAAAAATCAAGTAATTTAGACTTCCGGATGTTATTTTGGTTTAAAATAAAAATGAAATAATTTTTGCACGCCCTGTATTATCGATGTAAAAAATCGCCTTAATCGAAAATTGTTTCAAATAAAAACTGTTTCAAATTCGATTTAAAATCGGTTTTTGTAATAAATTATTTTTGTATCTTCGCTAGGTGGCGTTGTACACCGATAAAAATTCGTTATTTTGAGGTTATGTTAATAAATATCGTTGTTATCGCCAATAATGTTAAGTAAAACTTGTTTAGAATTACATAAATAACAATTTTGTTGAAAATTTTTTTAAAAATTTTAAAAAGTTTAGATTATAAAGTAATTTTTTTAAAATTTTTATATTATTTTCTTTAGTATTAAATTATACAATCGTAATAAGCATCAAAAATGCTTTAATTTGATACCGAACAACCCACATTTTAGGTTTTATAACATATCTTGAAATATGATATTGACAGCCGCCATCTTTAATCATCTAAAATCATAAAAATGAATGAAAATCCTTTAATTTAACACCCAACAACCCATACTAATTTAATGGAATAAGATAATTACCATTATTTTGTTATTCAAAATATTTTTTAAATCTTAAAAATTTCAAAATAGTAATAAGTATGAAAAATGCTTTAATTTGATACCCAACAACCTATACTTTAGATTAAATAACGTAACCCCAAAGATGACAATGACAGCCGCCATCTTGGATTTTCTTCCAAGATGGCGGCTTTATCTTAACTCGCCGTGTTTGGACTTAAATTACTCGATTTTTAATTTTAAATCGATTGGAAATAATATCAAACTCGATTTTTTTGAAAAATTAAAAAATTTGTTCGAAAAATAAAAAAAATTAAATTCTTTTTTTCCTTAAAAATCACAAAGAAACTTAAAAATCCTTTTAAATGAGTCCAAACTCGATAAGGTTATCTTAAACACAACTTTAAAAATGACATTGACAGCCGCCATCTTGGATTTTATTTATTTTTTTAATTTAGCATAGATTTGAGACTAGATTTTTTTTACTTAACCTAATTATTTATTAAAAATCATAAAAAAGATTAAAAATCTTATTAATCATATCCATATTAAATTAATGAGAGAAAACACAAAAATCGCCATTTTGTTTTCTAATTATTATTTTTTAACTAAAATGTTTCAAAATCGTAATAAGCATGAAAAATGCTTTAATTTGATACCCAACAATCTATACTTTGAATTAAATAACGTAACCTCAAAGATGACAATGACAGCCGCCATCTTGGATTTTTTTATTTTGCATAGATTTGAGACTAATTGAGATAGACTCGCCGTGTTTGGACTTAAATTACTCGATTTTTAATTTTTAATCGATTAATAGTTAAATAAAAATTAAATAAAAGTTAAATAACATAGTCTAAGAAATTGACAGCCGCCATCTTTAATTTTATCTATGTTTAAGATTTTTTTTTAACCCAACAATTTATTAAAAATCATAAAAATGATTAATCTTATTTATCACATCCATATTAAATTAATGAGAAACCACAAAAACCGCCATTTTGTTTTTTTAATTATTTCTTTTTAACTTAATTGTTTAAAAATCGTAATAAGCATGAAAAATCCTTTAATTTGATACCCAACAACCTATATTTTGGATTAAATAACATAATCTTAAAACTGACATTGACAGCCGCCATCTTGGATTTTCTTATTTTTTTTAATTTTGCATATCTTTGGTACTATTTAAGATAACCCCATCGAGTTTGGACTCATTTTAAAGGATTTTTTATGAGTATTACGAATATATAAAGATGGCGTCATAAACCGGAAGTTAATGTTGCACATGTCGCTTATTTTTAAAGTTAAATATGTCGTGTTTGTAGTCGTTTCAAAGGATTTTCTACATTCGACATTTTTTAATTTGTTACCAATCAAACCCATATTAAATTATTAAAAAAACGCAAAAATCGCCATTTTGTTTTTTAATTATTTTTTGAACCGAAATATTTCGAAATCGTAATGAGCATGAAAAATGCTTTAATTTGATACCCAACAACCTATACTTTAAATTAAATAACGTAACCTCAAAGATGACAATGACAGCCGCCATCTTGGATTTTCTTATTTTTTAATTTAGCATAGATTTGAGACTAATTGAGATAGACTCGCCGTGTTTGGACTTAAATTAATCGATTTTTAATTTTTAATCGATTAATGCACTCCAATAATATACAACCAATCAGAGTAACGATCGTTTAAAATTTCGACCAATAACGTGAATTTCTAAGTGGATAAAAGTTACCTAGGTTTTTCAACTGAATAAATCACACGTGATATTTTATAACTGATTAAAACGCGACTACCATATATATACTTTTGTTTACGTCACATTTTTGACAACTATAATTAAGTCAAAAATAGTTAATAAATAATTAAAAATTGTTGATAAATTGTGCAATTGTCGTGTATTAATCTCCCTAAAATACGCTCGAGCTTGATTTTAAATCAGGATAATTTTATTTTTAATTCACTCAAGTTTTGTTACCCTTTGGAAATAACTCTCAATCAAAATCAAAAGATAAAATCGCTCCAGCTAAAGCTGTCGCGATTTTATCATGCTTTTGATTTCGAGTTATTTCCATGGTAACAAAACTTTCGTGTAAAAATAAAATTATCCGATTAAAAGTCAAGCTCTTGTGTATTTACCCCCGATTAACAGTTAAATAAAAATTAAATAAAAGTTAAATAACATAGTCTAAGAAATTGACAGCCGCCATCTTTAATTTTATCTATTTTTTAGATTTTTTTTTAACCCAACAATTTAGTAAAAATCGTAAAAATTATTAATCTTATTCATCACATCCATATCGAATTAATAAGAAACCACAAAAACCGCCATTTTGTTTTTTTAATTATTCTTTTTAACTTAATTGTTTAAAAATCGTATTAAGCATGAAAAATGCTTTAATTTGATACCCAACAACCTATACTTTGGAGTAAATAACGTAGCCTTAAAGATGACATTGACAGTCGCCATCTTGGATTTTCTTATTTTTTACATCTTGCACATCTTTGGTACTATTTAAGATAACCCCATCGAGTTTGGACTCATTTTGAAGGATTTTTTATGAACATTACGAATATATAAAGATGGCGTCATAAACCGGAAGCTGATGTTGCACATCGCTTATTTTTAAAGTTAAATATGTCGTGTTTGTACTCGTTTCAAAGGATTTTCAATGAAGATTACGATTTTAACATCAAATTTTTTTTCAGACTGAATCGACAAGTCCCAATAACGAAGAAATTGGCACTCAAAGCGGCGGCGAAAACGGAGCCGCCCAGGATCTTGGTCACCCGATGTACATGTACCAAGGTTTTTATTACAACAATCCAAGTTCCTCAACAGGTGAGAAATTATTTGTGTTTACGTGGAAAATCATTAAATTATTTTTTTTGTGGCAGTTGTGGTGGACGTACCAACGACCGAGCCGAGGAAAATCAAGAAAAAACGGCGAAGAAAAGCGAGCAAAAGCGTACACGATGACGAGTTATCGAGTTCTGAGGAGGAATCTTCTGAGGAGCCCACCCAAATTGAGAATAAATCGGTTAAGGTTAATCAATTAATTGAAGAGGATAAAAATGGAAAAGAATTTGAGGAAGAAGTAAAAAGGAAAGATGATAATAAAGAAGGTAAAGAAGAAGAAAATGTACCTCTTGAGATGGTCCAAGAAGAAGAAAGTGCAAAAATGGAAGATGAGATTGAAAAGATTGAACCGGAAGAAGAATCTTCAAAAAAAGAGACGAAATTTAATTTAAACGCAGAAGAATTCATCCCAAGAGCTTTACGCCAAAACGATTTGAACATTAATCGAAACCCCAATGTTCAATTTGTAAACGTTCACTCCAACTTTATCCCACTTCCTTTCGTGAATCACCCCTTAAACGAAATTGGGGCCCAACCAAATTACCCCGCAATGTTCCCCCCCGGAATCCCACTCGGATTCGTTCCCCCCAATTTCGTCAATTTCGTTCCAAACCAATTTTACGCCAAACCAACATTCGAAAACATCCCGCAAAAAGCGATAGTTCAACAAAAACAAGAAGAAACCGAAGAGGTAGCCGAAAACGTCGAGAAGAATGAGGAGAAAATGATTAAAAGTGAAGTTGACATCGCCAAAATTGTTTCGAAATTGGAGGAGGCGGCCAAAGAGCAGCGCCAAAGTGAGAGTGGGGTGATAAAGAGGGGGATGAAGAAAGGGATTAAGTACCAAAGGAAGTTTTATGATTATAAAGGTGGGTTTGAGAAGAGGAGGAACTTTGAGAGGAAAAGGTTTTATCATGAATCATCGGGGATGATCAAGGATGATGAAAATAAAGACGAAAATAAGGATGGAAAAGAGAAGAAACATATCTTTAAGAATATTTCGCCTCATTTAACTCCGAAAAGATATCAAATAAAGCATGAAATGAATCATCAAATTAATGTTAAAAAGACTTCCCAAGAGATTTCTTTATCTCCTCAATTAAAGTATTCTGAAACTGTGAAGAAATCTGTCCCTCAATACCAATTAAAAGCATCCCCGCTCAAAATCAAAGAAGAAATTGCTTCAATTCCAAAATCACCAAATCAATGGATCGCAGTTTCGAATCGAAAGAAACGAAAAAATCGATCGAATGAAGAAGAAATTGAGGCAACGTTGAAAGATGATTCATTAAAAGTTGAGGAGGAAGAAAATGTTGATGAAGAATTGGTGGTTGTTGGTGGTGGTGGGGGTGATGAGGTGCTAATTTTAACCAAAGAGGAAGAAAAAATGATTTATGAGGATAACAAAATGTTGGAGGATGTTCCAAAAGATGTTATTGAGTTAATTCGGGAATCAAGTTTGAGTGGAATGAAGAAAAACGAGGATGTTGTGATTCAGGATGTTCAAGAGATTGAGAAAGAAATGTTGAAGGAGAAAGATGAGGAGGTGAAGAGTTTGAAAGATGATGAAATTAAAGGAAAGGATGAGAATGAGGAGAAGGAGGAAGAAGGAAATATCGAAAAAGAAGTTTTGATAAAGAAAGTGAAGAAAACGAAAAAACAAGTTCAAAAAAGAATTTTGGTGAAAGACTGTGACTTTATAAACGTTGAAGAAACCGAGGAGAAAGAAGAAAAAATAGTGCAAGAAGAGAAAGTGTTGAAAGAAGTTCCACAAAACAATGAGACCTTAACAATCAAAGAAACCGACCAAAAACCCGAATCGATACCCCCAGAAAAGAAAAAACCCAAAAAAAAGAAAAAAATCCAAAAAATCAACCCCCCCCTATCAAAATCATCATCAACAACAACATTAAACAACCCCAACATTTTCGATGAATCCTACGATTTCCTATTAGACACCACCTCACTCCTCGAAACCAACGATAAAACGAACGTTGAAGTATCCGAAGAGCTCGATAAGATGATTCAAAAAGGCCTCTTTGGAAATCTCGAGGAAAAAATGAAAACGCTTAACGTATCGATCGACGAAGACTTTTTCAAGTCGTTGAACTTTTCGAAGCCGCAATCGACGCCCGATAAATCGGGGTTTATAAAAGCGACCGATTTGTCGTCGATTTTAACCAATAATAACCAATTTTTGCAAAAAGCGATTGATTACACGAAAATTAAGCCGGATCAAGCGTCGACGTCGAAAGATTGCGCCTTTTTGGACGTTTCAAACGATGATTTCGAAAACACTAATATTAATGTTAGCGGAGATTTGGGGAGGAAAAAGGAGAAGAATAAAGGGGGGAAGTTGAAGAATAAGAGTAGGAGGAAGGAACAAGAGTACAAAGTAAAAAGTAAAAATGAAATTGTTGTAGGGTCTGTTTGTTTGGATGGTCTGATGGAGGTTGGTTGATTAATTTAATTAATTTTGACGGTAAATTTTGCTAAAAGAATTAGATTCGTAATCGTCATTAAAAATGCTTTAAAACGAGTACAAACACGGCATATTTATCTTTAAAAATAAGAAAGATCGAAAATGCACTTCCGGTTAATTACGCCATCTTTATGTATTCGTAATGTTCATAAAAAATGCTTTAAAATGAGTCCAAACTCGATGAGGTTATCTTAAATAGTACGAAAGATACGCAAAATTTAAAAAGAATAAAATCCAAGATGGCGGCTGTCAACGTCATTTTTAAAGTTTTATTATTTAAGCTCAAGTATAGGTTGTTGGGTATCAAATTAAAGGATTTTTCATGCTTAATCCTATTTTGATATTTTTATTAAAAAGAAAAAATAAATGAAATGGAAATACAAAAAAGAATTATTATAAAAATCGATTTTAAATCGAATTTAAAACAATTTTTATTTGAAACAATTTTCGATTAAGTTTGACACCTTGTATTTTGACATAAAATAATAATTTGAAATAACATAAAATCCGCCATTTTGTTTTTAAATTATCTTTTTAAAGCTTAAAAATTGCAAAATTATAACAAGCATCAAAAATCGTTTAATTCGATACCCAACAAGCCATATTTTCGGTTAAATACCAACCTCAACGATGACATTGACAGCTGTCATCTTTAAAATTAAAAAAACTATTTTTTTAATTTAAAATTTGTTAAAAATCATAAAGATAATTAAAAATCTTGTAATTTGATATCCAACAACCCATATTAACTTAATAGTTAATACAAAAACATAAAATCCGCCATTTTATTTTTCAATTATTTTTTTATATCTTAAAAATGTCAAAATCGTAATAAACATAAAAAATCCTTTAATTTGATACCCAACAACCCATACTTTGGGTTAAATAACATAACCTCAAAGATGACATTGATACCCGCCATCTTGGATTTTATTATTTCTTAATTTTGTATATATTCGATACTGATTGAGATAGAGCCATCGTGTTTGGACTTAAATTACTCGGATTTTAATTTTAAATCGATTGGAAATGATTACAACTCTTTTTTTTGGATTAAAAAAAAATAATTCGAAATATAAAAAACCCAAAATACTCCAATTCCATAAAAATCATAAATAACATTAAAAATACTTTAAAATGAGTCCAAACTCAATGAGGTTATCTTAAATAGTACGAAAGATATGCAAAATTTAAAAAAAATAAAATCCAAGATGGCGGCTGTCAACGTCATTTTTAAAGTTTTATTATTTAAGCTCAAGTATAGGTTGTTGGGTATCAAATTAAAGGAAATTTAATGCTTATTACGATTTTGAAATTTTAAACAATAATTGAAAAACAAAATGGCGATTTTTTCTTATTTATATAATTGGTATTAGTTGTTGGGTATCAAATTAAAGCATTTTTTATGCTTAATCCTATTTTGATATTTTTATTAAAAAAAATTAAAAATCTACAGGCTGATTACTTTATAATTTAAATTTAAAATTTTTTAAAAAAAAAGTAGGATACAGCGCCACCTAGTGGAAATAAAAAAAAAATTATTATAAAAATCGATTTTAAACCGAATTTGGAACAATTTTTATTTGAAACAATTTCCGATTAAGTTATTTTTTTATACCCATATACAGGTTGGTGCAAAAATCATTCGAAAAATGTTTAGGTTTATTTTGATATATTCTAAATATTCATAAAAAATCCTTTAATTTGGTACTCAACAACTTATATTTTGACATAAAATAATGATTTGAAATAACATAAAATCCGCCATTTTGTTTTTAAATTATCTTTTTAAAGCTTAAAAATTGCAAAATTATAACAAGCATCAAAAATCGTTTAATTCGATACCCAACAAGCCATATTTTCGGTTAAATAACAACCTTAACGATGACATTGACAGCTGTCATCTTTAAAATTAAAAAAAAAAACTATTTTTTTAATTTAAAATTTGTTAAAAATCATAAAGATAATTAAAAATCTTGTAATTTGAAATCCAGCAACCCATCTTAACTTAATAGTTAATACAAAAACATAAAATCCGCCATTTTATTTTTCAATTATTTTTTTATATCTTAAAAATGTCGAAATCGTAATAAACATAAAAAATCCTTTAATTTGATACCCAACAACCCATACTTTGGGTTAAATAACATAACCTCAAAGATGATATTGATACCCGCTATCTTGGATTTTATTATTTCTTAATTTTGTATATATTCGAGACTGATTGAGATAGACCCATCGTGTTTGGACTTAAATTACTCGGATTTTAATTTTAAATCGATTGGAAATGATTACGTCTCATTTTTTTTGGATTTAAAAAAAAATTAATTCGAAATATAAAAAACCCAAAATACTCCAATTCCATAAAAATCATAAATAACATTAAAAATAATTTAAAATGAGTCCAAACTCAATGAGGTTATCTTAAATAGTACCAAAGATATGTAAAATTTAAAAAAAACAAAGTCCAAGATGGCGGCTGTCAACGTCATTTTAAAAGTTTTATTATTTAAGCTCAAGTACAGGTTGTTGGGTATCAAATTAAAGGATATTTTATGCTTATTACGATTTTGAAATTTTAAAAAATAATTGAAAAACAAAATGGCGATTTTTTCTTATTTATATAATTAATATTAGTTTTTGGATATCACATTAAAACATTTTCAATAATTTATATGATTTTTAAGATAAAAGTAAAAAAAAGTTGAAAGTTCAAGATGGCGACTGTCAACGTCATGTTTAAGATTATCCCAAAATATGGGTTGTTGGGTATCAAATTAAAGCATTTTTCATGCTTAATCCTATTTTGATATTTTTATTACAAAAAAAAAAATAAAAATGTACAGGCTGATTACTTTATCATTTAAATTTAAATCTTTTTTAAAAAAAACTATGATACAGCGCCACCTAGTGAAAATACAAAAAAGGATTATTATAAAAATAGATTTTAAATCGAATTTGAAACAATTTTTATTTGAAACAATTTTCGATTAAGTTAATTTTTTATATTCATATACAGGCTGGTGCAAAAATCATTCTAAAATTTTTTAGGTTTATTTTGATACATTCTTAATATTCATAAAAAATCCTTTAATTTGGTACCCAACAACTTATATTTTGACATAAAATAATGATTTGAAATAACATAAAATCCGCCATTTTGTTTTTAAATTATCTTTTTAAAGCTTAAAAATTGCAAAATTATAACAAGCATCAAAAATCGTTTAATTTGATACCCAACAACCCACATTTTGAATTTAATACCATAACTTTAAAATTTAAAATGACATTGACAGTCGCCATCTTGATTTTTATTATTTCCTTTAATTTTGTGTATATGTATTTAAGTTAAAACCATCGTGTTTGGACTTAAATTACTCGGATTTTAATTTTAAATCGATTGGAAATGATTACATCTAATTTTTTTTTGGATTAAAAAAAAATTAATTCGAAAAATAAAAAACCCAAAATACTCTAATTTCATAAAAATCACAAATAAAATTAAAAATCCTTTAAAATGTGTCCAAACTCGATGGGATTATCTCAAAAAACAACCGAGATGTAAATATTTTTAGTGTTATTGCCAACTTAATAACCTCAAATTTATTAAGTTTTTTGTTGTATCTTCGTCGTTTTATGAGATAATTTCGTCGAGTTTGGACTTATTTTAAAGGATTTTTTATGGAGATTAAGAATATGTCACAATTAAAGTTGAGGTTTATAACCGGAAGTTGCCTATATCTCGGTTATTTTTTAAAACTATTCATTAAATATTTTAATAAAAACCTGAAATAATTTGCTAAAAATGTGGAGATAAATTTTAATCAAAATCCACAACTTTTGATGGACAACGAAACAAATTTGACAGCGTCATAAGCGCCACCAAGCGGAGATATTGAAAGTTTATATTAGCATAATTAATTCAGTTCATTTTGTAGATGAACATTATATAAAATATTTTTTGATGAAATAATAATTTGTGATATAAATCTTACCATACTGTTCAGAGGGAAATTACGAGGTCTTTATATAAGTATACAGCGCAACATGACAAAAATTTAAAAAAATGTTTCAAATAAAAATTGTAGCTGAATTAATTCCAAACAAATGTTATTTGAAACATTTTTTGATTCATCCAATAATTATTGAGATAACCTCAAAAATGTCATTTATTCTGTCAAAAAACAGTGCCATCTAGTGGAGGTATCAAAATTATATGTTAAGATTTTTGTTTTAAATCATGTTTTAAACAAATATTATTTGAAAGATTTTTCGATAAACCTAATTAGCTTTGAAATGATTTACCGTACTATTCAGTGGGAAATACGAAAGTTTTTATGTTAGTGTACAGCGCCACCTAGTAAAAATTTAAAAAAATTTTTCAAATAAAAATTGTAGCTGATTTAGTTCTAAACAAATCTTATTTGAAACATTTTTCTATAAAAATAATATTTCCTTTTAAAATAAGGAAATAAAGGTCAACCAATCATTTTCTATTTGGATCATTTAAAACAGATGGACCCTGAAACGAAATATATTAAAACAAAAATTTTTTCAGATCGATCAGCGACCGAAGATGTAATAATTTTGCATAATGACGAAAACGAAGAAAAATCTGAAACAACCGAGGAGATTGTTGATGGTATCGAGGAGATTTTAGAAGATGTTTTGAAAAGAATCGATGATGAACTAATTGAAAACGAAATAAAACCTGAAAGTATTGATCAAACATTAGAACAACAAACAAATCAAGAAATTATTGATGAACAACCATGTTCAGAAACTTTTGATCAAAAGCCCGAAAGTTGCGATGAACCAAACTTAACTCAACTAGAAGTATTTAATGAACAACAAGAAACTAGTTTTGAAATTCACACTATAATTTCGTCAAATTTGATTCACGAAAGTAATTTTTTAAACTCATCTCAACCCGAAAACGTCACTTTAACACAAAAGCCTGAAGATAACTTAAAAATATGCACAAAAACGTACGAAACTTTCGAAATCGACGACGACAAAAGATTAACCGATAAAAATGGATTATTTCCGATCGAAAACGACGTGGAGGAAGAAGACGATGAGATTTCAAGCGCCCAAGAGGCTACAAATGAAGTCATCGTTGCCAACTTGGAAAATAAAAATCCCCAAAATCACCAAAAATCGATTACTCAAGCCGTGTTTGAGTGGATGGTTAAAGTTAGGGAGAAAACACCCGAAATTGAAATTTTAAAGAGTCCAGATACGATTAATAGAGAGTTTAATTTAAATGGAGAAAATGATTTAATTAAAGACGACGAAATAGAAGAAGGAAAAGATGTTCTTGAAATTTGTGGAAAAGAAGAGGAATTTTTTAAATTAGAAGAAGAAATGGAGGAGATTAAACGAAAACGAAACACGAAACATGGCGACCTTCCTTATCGCGCCATCTGTTGCAGTTTGATGTAAACGCAAAATATTTTAAACAATTTTTAATCGTGTAAAGTGATTTTTTTGTCATTTTTCTACAAAAAAAAAAAAATAATAATAACGTTGTTGTGTAAATAATTGTACTTAAACGATACCAAAAAATTAAAAAAAAATACAAAAAGTTGTTCGTTATAACCGATATTGTTGAACCGCAATCGAAGTTAATGTACAGAGTTAACGCGAAATAAAAAAATTTAAAAAAAAAGACGATAAAAACAAAAAGGAGCCATAAAAGACGAATTAATTTAACGTTTCGAATTTTGTTTTTAGTGTTTTTTTCGTCGAATATAGTAGCTACCTCATAATTTTCGACTCTCATTTCGATAATAAGTGGAGAACAATAAATAATTCACTATTAAAGAAGAATAACTCAAAAGAATTCTAAAAATTTTAATAAATCGTAATCGATTTTGACATATCTGTCAAAAGTGACGTTTCGATATCTCGATTATGTTTAACTTGTCAAAAAAATGAAATAATTAAGACGTAGATTGTAGGTTGTCGTAAACATTTTTGATTTTTTTGATTTTTAATTAATTAAAAAGAATTAATTAGTTAAAAAAGGGGGACGCGGTCGACGAATTTTCCTTATATCTTTAGGGCCGCGCCCCTTTTCCCTCATCCCTCGATTTTTAGTGCAATCACCGCGCCGAAATCGTTACGTTCTAGTAATAAAATGCCAAATAATCATTAATTTTTAAATTTAATTTCTTTTTTGAAGATGTCATCGCGATCGTTTCAATTCGAATTATCAAGATGCAATAATTCACAAAAAAAAAGAATTAATTATTAATAATAAAATTGTATAAACGAAATTAATAATAATAATTATATAATTAAGGGTACGATTTTTTCTGTTTGTTCTGTTTTTTCATTATTAATTATTTGTCTCGTTTGTTATTATTATTTCGTTATCGGTTTTATTAATTTTTGCGGCTTAGATTATATTAATTTTTTTTGTTTTTACGCCTACTTAACTTTTCTCTTATTAATTAATTAATTAAGTTTTTCTTTTCGTTCATTGTTAAGTGTTTGTTAATTTTGAAATTTGTGCCTTCGCAATTTTTAAAAATAAATAAAAAGTTGAACCAAAACAAGCAATTTCTTAATCCCATTTTAGACCTTAGAACGTTTTGAAACAATATTTGTATTCTATAAATATAAATTAAATGATATAGAATCGGACAAAATCAATTTTGTATTGAACAAATTATAACAAGACCGCAAAATATAAAAATAAAACATTCATGACAACATTGTAGCGCCTCGGCCACAAGTGACCTTGATTAAACTTTTTGCAAAAAATTATGACTAAGCCCAGGTTGCTGCTTGCAGGTGAGGATTAAAAATTAAACCATCTCAACTTAAAACTGATCAGAACTTTGCAACTGCTCTGCCACCTCATACTTTGATTAAACTAAAGATAGAAAAATTATGATTCCTGGATTCACTAGTTCCAGAAATACTTCATCCCAGAAGTTAGTCGCTACATGAATACAAAATGTCTAGAATTTAAAGTTCTTTTAATTCTAGATAATGCGACAATCCGGTCTTGGAGCACCCAAATGTGCAATTTTGCTTTTTTCCACCTAACACTACATTCTATTATGTACAGGGTGGTTCAAATTCGATGTCGGAATAGGCTAACTCGGAAACTATAAGAGTTAGAAAAAAAGTAGCTTACATGTCATGATCTCGTTTTTCGAGAAACTGCTAATGCCGAAAACCTCATAGAGCTATCGTCTTTTGTTTTTCCCCTAGAGGCCAAAATTGGAAATATCGTAAAACCAGCAAGTGCAATTATCTTCGTTATTATTATAGGTGGAGTATTATAAGTAAGACATTATATGGACACTTTTTTATAGAGAACTGGATGACGTAGTCAAAAAAATTTTTTCGGTTTTAGATTTTGAGATATCATCACAATTTTCGTTTTTTTAAATGGAAACAACCACTGATTATTCGCTTATTAAATTCGTTATTTTTTTCTGATTACAAAAATATAGGGTTCGACAGGTCTATTTCTTATTGTTTTAGAATNACAAAAACATAAAATCCGCCATTTTATTTTTCAATTATTTTTTTATATCTTAAAAATGTCGAAATCGTAATAAACATAAAAAATCCTTTAATTTGATACCCAACAACCCATACTTTGGGTTAAATAACATAACCTCAAAGATGATATTGATACCCGCTATCTTGGATTTTATTATTTCTTAATTTTGTATATATTCGAGACTGATTGAGATAGACCCATCGTGTTTGGACTTAAATTACTCGGATTTTAATTTTAAATCGATTGGAAATGATTACGTCTCATTTTTTTTGGATTTAAAAAAAAATTAATTCGAAATATAAAAAACCCAAAATACTCCAATTCCATAAAAATCATAAATAACATTAAAAATAATTTAAAATGAGTCCAAACTCAATGAGGTTATCTTAAATAGTACCAAAGATATGTAAAATTTAAAAAAAACAAAGTCCAAGATGGCGGCTGTCAACGTCATTTTAAAAGTTTTATTATTTAAGCTCAAGTACAGGTTGTTGGGTATCAAATTAAAGGATATTTTATGCTTATTACGATTTTGAAATTTTAAAAAATAATTGAAAAACAAAATGGCGATTTTTTCTTATTTATATAATTAATATTAGTTTTTGGATATCACATTAAAACATTTTCAATAATTTATATGATTTTTAAGATAAAAGTAAAAAAAAGTTGAAAGTTCAAGATGGCGACTGTCAACGTCATGTTTAAGATTATCCCAAAATATGGGTTGTTGGGTATCAAATTAAAGCATTTTTCATGCTTAATCCTATTTTGATATTTTTATTACAAAAAAAAAAATAAAAATGTACAGGCTGATTACTTTATCATTTAAATTTAAATCTTTTTTAAAAAAAACTATGATACAGCGCCACCTAGTGAAAATACAAAAAAGGATTATTATAAAAATAGATTTTAAATCGAATTTGAAACAATTTTTATTTGAAACAATTTTCGATTAAGTTAATTTTTTATATTCATATACAGGCTGGTGCAAAAATCATTCTAAAATTTTTTAGGTTTATTTTGATACATTCTTAATATTCATAAAAAATCCTTTAATTTGGTACCCAACAACTTATATTTTGACATAAAATAATGATTTGAAATAACATAAAATCCGCCATTTTGTTTTTAAATTATCTTTTTAAAGCTTAAAAATTGCAAAATTATAACAAGCATCAAAAATCGTTTAATTCGATACCCAACAACCCACATTTTGAATTTAATACCATAACTTTAAAATTTAAAATGACATTGACAGTCGCCATCTTGATTTTTATTATTTCCTTTAATTTTGTGTATATGTATTTAAGTTAAAACCATCGTGTTTGGACTTAAATTACTCGGATTTTAATTTTAAATCGATTGGAAATGATTACAACTCTTTTTTTTGGATTAAAAAAAAATAATTCGAAATATAAAAAACCCAAAATACTCCAATTCCATAAAAATCATAAATAACATTAAAAATACTTTAAAATGAGTCCAAACTCAATGAGGTTATCTTAAATAGTACGAAAGATATGCAAAATTTAAAAAAAATAAAATCCAAGATGGCGGCTGTCAACGTCATTTTTAAAGTTTTATTATTTAAGCTCAAGTATAGGTTGTTGGGTATCAAATTAAAGGAAATTTAATGCTTATTACGATTTTGAAATTTTAAACAATAATTGAAAAACAAAATGGCGATTTTTTCTTATTTATATAATTGGTATTAGTTGTTGGGTATCAAATTAAAGCATTTTTTATGCTTAATCCTATTTTGATATTTTTATTAAAAAAAATTAAAAATCTACAGGCTGATTACTTTATAATTTAAATTTAAAATTTTTTAAAAAAAAAGTAGGATACAGCGCCACCTAGTGGAAATAAAAAAAAAATTATTATAAAAATCGATTTTAAACCGAATTTGGAACAATTTTTATTTGAAACAATTTCCGATTAAGTTATTTTTTTATACCCATATACAGGTTGGTGCAAAAATCATTCGAAAAATGTTTAGGTTTATTTTGATATATTCTAAATATTCATAAAAAATCCTTTAATTTGGTACTCAACAACTTATATTTTGACATAAAATAATGATTTGAAATAACATAAAATCCGCCATTTTGTTTTTGAATTATCTTTTTAAAGCTTAAAAATTGCAAAATTATAACAAGCATCAAAAATCGTTTAATTCGATACCCAACAAGCCATATTTTCGGTTAAATACCAACCTCAACGATGACATTGACAGCTGTCATCTTTAAAATTAAAAAAACTATTTTTTTAATTTAAAATTTGTTAAAAATCATAAAGATAATTAAAAATCTTGTAATTTGATATCCAACAACCCATATTAACTTAATAGTTAATACAAAAACATAAAATCCGCCATTTTATTTTTCAATTATTTTTTTATATCTTAAAAATGTCAAAATCGTAATAAACATAAAAAATCCTTTAATTTGATACCCAACAACCCATACTTTGGGTTAAATAACATAACCTCAAAGATGACATTGATACCCGCCATCTTGGATTTTATTATTTCTTAATTTTGTATATATTCGAGACTGATTGAGATAGACCCATCGTGTTTGGACTTAAATTACTCGGATTTTAATTTTAAATCGATTGGAAATGATTACGTCTCATTTTTTTTGGATTTAAAAAAAAATTAATTCGAAATATAAAAAACCCAAAATACTCCAATTCCATAAAAATCATAAATAACATTAAAAATAATTTAAAATGAGTCCAAACTCAATGAGGTTATCTTAAATAGTACGAAAGATATGCAAAATTTAAAAAAAATAAAATCCAAGATGGCGGCTGTCAACGTCATTTTTAAAGTTTTATTATTTAAGCTCAAGTATAGGTTGTTGGGTATCAAATTAAAGGATTTTTCATGCTTAATCCTA